TAAATCTCAATGTGTCCATGAATATACTGGTATGTGTTCGTGTATATATACATATATAGAAACATACATGCATATACATGTACATGTACAGCCGCATTTTAATATGTTACTCTTACTAGTCATGTCGTTGCTGACTTTGTTGCCTTGATCGTATTGCAGGTGATGTTTGAGACTGTGCGATCAAACTTTTCACCGGAGGATTGGGAGTTGTTGACATCAGTGATTTGGGTATCGTGGCGCTAGTGATCATGATGATGATGCTGATCATATCCTATACCACGCTATTCCGGACCATTGCGGGTCTCAGGGACTCTTCTCCAGCATTTCGCGATGTCGACGTCAGCTTGGAGTTACTAGGGGATGAGTTTGCTGATCACGGCAAGTGTCGAGCGGAATTGCATGAGGCTCTTGTATGACGTCGGATCCCAGCTCTCCAATGTGATGAAGCCACTGTTGTTAACATCCAGCTGCTTCCACAGCCTCAGGGCACTAAAGTGGCCGCATCTGCCCTGTGCAAGCCCGGTGTCCGCCCTACTTTCGGAAGCTGCTGTGTCAAGCGGAGACTCCAGAAGCCAGCACAATAGCCGCTGAGGGGCGTGGTGACGTGGGTGAAGCCCATGGCACGCGCAGCGCGGCAGAAGGGAATGAAAGAGACCCGACCCAGACCAGCAGTATCCAGGAGCAGACGCCAACCTACGAGTAGCAAGCTGCAGCCTTTTTGCACGTGCAAGCAGCTCGTAACTTCACACCCAAGAAAGGTCTGCTTGTTGCGGTCTGGCAACATCTGGTTAGATTGCTGTACTTTCGGCGGCAGCAGACCTGTCAACATCTCACGGCAACAACCCCTTTCTCCTCAACAACCAAGGAGTGAATCCGGAGCATCATATATCTGCAGCTCCAAACCTTTTCTTTGTGTTTTTGAACATCTGGTACCCAAAAGCCGCAGCCCGTGCAGGAATTCCACCTTAAAGTCCTCTGTGTAGGCGGCCGCGTCCTGCACGGACGTCAGCACGTCTTTTCGCCTGCATGCACTACGAGGACCAACTGCTACAGTATGGCTGCTAGTTTCTCACATCTATTTTTCTCACTTGGCCATGGCGTGCTGCCAGCTGCAGCTCTAGGACTCTAGGTCACTCAACATGAGGGCGCGGCCACCAAGAGCAGAGAGTCTGCAAGGTGCTTCGCAAGGTGCTGAGTGCAATTCCGGCATGCGAGTTTCAGAAAACAGTGACCCTAATAGAGACCCTAGCATTTGGATCCTTCTGATAAGGACCTCAACACAGACACAAGGTGGCTCAGACGAAGAGCCACATGTCATGGAAGAGCCTTTCGAGAAGTTCTGGCATGAATCTGAGGAAGGGCACATCAACACGTCACGAACATCATGACTTGTCATACCGAGGGTGCGCCCACATGAAAACCGCCATCCTCAACTTAACCAAAACCAGCACACGCAGACAATCACCACCACCACCACCACCGCCACCACCATCACCATCGCCACCACCGCGGCAACCAACACCGCCGTCAGGACCAGCACCAGCACCACTACCACAGCCAGAGCAACGACTGCAGCAACAGCCACCACCACCACCACCACCACCACCACCACCAACAACAACAACAACGACAACGACAGCAACAGCAACAGCAACCGCAGCAGTAGCAGCAGCAGCAGCAGCAGCAGTGGCGGCAACCGGACCGCAACCAACAACAACAGCAGCAACAGCCACAGCAACAGCAGCAACAACCTCGACAACAACAAACAGCTAACAACAAGCAACAAACAACCACCAACAACCAACAGCCAACAACAACAACAACAGCAGCAGCAACAGCAGCAACAACAACAACAACAGCAGCAACACCACCAACACCCCAACCACAACAGCAACAGCAACAACGACAATAATACTTCTTATTCTTACGAAACCTTTATGTATGCAACAGAAGCAGCGACAGCTGCAACTGCGACACCGTCACTGACATCATCGTCATCATCGTCATCATCATCATCAGTCTATGGTGGCCATCGCCAGGACCACACGCACCCGGCCTCTCTATTGAGACCATCCGAACGCCCTTGTGCGTGCTGGCAAAAGGATCGCCACGAGCGAAGCAAGCTGGCTTTTGAATGTTACCTGAGGTTTAGGCACAAGCGCTGAAAATCCCAGGATTTAGGGTCTGCTAGCTGTGGTCTTGAGCCTTTGGTGTAGGGTTGCAGGTTGCAGGTCGAGTTCGCAAGATGTTTGTTTCTATTCGGAGTCTTGTAGTGCTCCGTCCGAGATGCTGCGCACTATTTTGGGAAGCTCGGGCGCAATGCTCACCAGCGCCAAGGAGTCATCAGGCAGCGGTCGGGAAGCAGTCTGCCTGAGCACATCTACACAACATGTAACCGAACCGTAGAGTGGGAGCTTAATCATTCGAATACTGCACGGGGGTATTACAGTCAAATCTAGTGCAACCGTAGTATGAAACCCTGAAGAATAGCACTCGTACTGTATATCAATTCACTCCGCACACTGCAGACAGGGAGCCATAAGAGGAAGAGGCGCGAGCGGGGCGCTTTATCCGTGGCAGAAGGCTGGGAAGAGCTTCTGCGGGAACTTCTGCGGGAAAGGGAGCAAAAGGACATCGCTCTGTGGCCGGAAGACTTCGGCAATCTATATCTTGAGAAACATAACTCGATCTGAGCGTGGGTCGTCGTAGTGTTCGTGCCGTGCCATGTTAGCATCCGCACTTGCATGCTACATTCACCAGATTGCCTTGACAGGGACATGGTCTACGAGATCACATGGTTTGAGCTGACTCTGCTGCAGGAGGGAGGCAGCACTCAACCATTGCAATCTCCCAATTCGGCACTGCTGCTGCAGGCTCAAACATTTGCTGGCACCATTGCTCCAAAAGTAGCACACAACTGTCTGTGCCAGACTCTGTCTGCCTCATTCTATGTGTGTATGTATACATATATGTGGATATATGTATGTGTGTATGTATGTATGTATGTATGTGTGCATGTATGTAGTATGTATGTATGCATGTACATATATATATATATGCACATATATACACGGACACAAATGTGTGTATATCTACAACAATAATATCGGTACCCAGATCTATACATATGTACACATACACATACATATACATTCATTATTTTTTACTTTAGATTTTTTATTCATACTATACTACTATACCAAGTTATATTGTGCTATTGTATTACATAGGGTTATGTTGCATGTCTATATGGTTTTAGGTTGTATTGTACTATGTTACATGACAGTACATCATATAATACTATACCATGTTTGCGGCACTATACTATGGTAAAGTTAGATTTGTACTACTAATTACATTATCTTTATTGTTGTGTTATATTATGCTATGTTTTGTTATGTGTGTATTCCCTCTATATATAAATATATATATATATAGGTCTTTATCATCCTCTACTGACTCGATTACATGTTTGCCACACCGCCGAGATAGGGCCACGACATCCAGCCTTGTTGGCTGCTGCCAGGGTGTTGATGGCACTGAGGCACATACTCCGAAACCTCCGGCGAATCAAGCAGCCGCACACCATTATAGAGTTGTTCGCCGCCTGAGCCCTAAACACCCAGCCGCATGTTCCGGCTTCAGTTCCGAATCGCCAAAACCTCCAACTCACCTCAACCCTAACCTTAAACCCTCCAAACCCTTAAGTCAAAAGAGCTCGGTGCCTCTGTTCCAGCTTTTCCTGCTCGGGAGCCGTCGGTGCACGACCCTTATCCTGAAGCGACGAAAAGTCGACTTCTGCTACTACTGCTGCTACTACTGCTACTACTACTTCTACTACTACTACTGCTACTACTACTACTACTGCTACTACCACGAATACTAGTACTACTACCACTACTACTACTACTACTACTACTACTACTACTACTACTACTACTACTACTACTACTACTACTACTACTACTGCTACTGCTACTGCTACTACTACTACTACTACTACTACTACTACTACTACCACGAATACTAGTACTACTACCACGAATACTAGTACGTGGAGTCCTCCGCTTGCTTCATGTGGTAGTTGTGCACTCTGCACAAAAGCTCCATCGCCCCTGGGTCCTCCTGGCAGGTTAGCAGGAGCCTTACTGGCAGAGGCCTGTACTTCTGTCAAACAACGTGATCCCCTGGCTTTTGAGTCCTCCAGCCATCGGTTGTGGCGGACCAGATCCAACAGCTGAGGATGTCTGGTCAGGTTCGTCCCGCCTTCCTCGAAATGGCTCAGCACCATGAGCATGCTCAAGACCTCAGGGGCAAGTCATCTCCAAATCCGTTATACACGCACAGCCACAACTCGCAACTGCGTCTCGCGAGATCTTACCAAACAAACTCAAACCCGACGACGATGAGGATTACAAGCATTGACAGCATGTTTACGACAATGATGATAGCGAGGAAGGAGTTCGCGGGCAGAGTGGGATGGCAATGCTCATGGCACGATGATGGTCGTCACCGAAATGTTGATGACGATGATGAAGGTGATGACAGCGATAACATTTTTAAGTGGTGGTTGGTACAAACTCACTCTTCAAATTCCGGTTCTTGCTCGGAGTCTCGCCCGCAGATCGTCACGGCTGGCTTTCCGAAACGGCTGCTGGCTATTCCTGGGCGAATCTTGAATGCCTGGAGGCACATGGGTCGTTATATGCGGAGTTTCGAGTCCCCCAATATATGTATATATTAACTATAGTTACCCTACTTATAACTCCACCTTTTACTATCCATGAGCCTCCAAGTACCTGTAGGCTCATACCCTACCCCTTTTTTAGGGTATCTACTTTCCTATATAACAGATCCTAACCATATAACTAGGTATCCAAAATAGGGTAGGGTATGAGCCTCCAAGTAGAAGTCTGAGAGGACTTTACGTCCTGGGGTTGAGGAATTAGCAACTGGCACCCAGGCTGCGCATCGCAGCCTCAAGCCATGTCTAGCCTACACAGACCTACGCAGCCTACGGTCACCAAACTAGGGCAAGAAGAGAGAGCTCCTGCAACCTTAAGTCCCCAAACTCTCCGAAAAAGAGCTGCGACTAGACTCTAAACTCTAATTCCTCCTAAACCTTAAGCCTTAAACCCGAATGCCCAACAAAAACCTAAAGCCCCTCAGCCCTAAACCAAGCTAAGACTCTTGATCAACTCCGGGGGGGCATAGGGATCCCGCGGCCGCGCTTGCGAAGGCTCTGCCTCCGCCTTTACGAGCAGTGTCCTGGGTGCTTTTTGGGGTTTCTTGAGGGGTTTAGGGTTTGGGGTTTACCTGGACCCCAAATGCATAACCCACCTGTCTTTAAAGGACATGTCAAAGGAAATCGTAACAAGGAACTCTTAACAAACAGCTTACCTAGGGTTCAGGAAGGGTTTAGACGGCTTAAAATTTTAGGGTCCAGTGCTCCTCCAGGGGCTCTGTAGGGATCCATGTAAGGGAGCTTCAGGGTTGTGGGCTTGCGGGATTCAGGCTTCCGGCTTAGGCTTTGGGATGCAGGGTGTAGCGATGTTGGGGACGCTTGTGGGCCAGGAGCTGAATCTTGAAACCGGCTCGGAGCCCTTTCCGAGCGTTTCAAGGCTGCAGGGTTTAGGGATAGAGGCATCTAAGCCAAGAAGTTTCGAGCCTTGAACTATGCAGAGCAATGTAGCTTCTCGATGCTGCTTGGAATCTGCAGCTATGTCTAGGTCTCAGCAACGGTGGTTCACAACACGGTCTAGGGCTTATGGGGTTCACGGTTTAAGCTTCGGGGCCTGCCAAACCGAATTCACCCGTGTAGCAATCATTCACCTGTCGCCTCGACGACTCTCTCAAGATCAATGTTTCTGAGCTCGCGGCTGGTATCGCCGTAACCACTTCCTCGGTTTAGGCTTGAGGGTCCCAAACCTGACCCTAAACCCTAAAACCCTAATTCCTGAAACCCTAAGCCCTAAACCCTAAACCCTAAACCCCTAAAGCCTAAACCCCGAAATCCTGAAACCCTAAACCCAGAAACCCTAAATCCTAAAACCCCATAGAGTCTCCGGGATCCTTGCTTGAGTCTCTGGACTTCTTGACTCATGGACCCGGGCTGACTTGAACCCAACCACCGACTCTTCACACAGACTATAGAGTTAGTACTCTAAGGGTTGCTACATGAGTGATATAACTTATGAGTTTACTACAAGGGCTCCTATGATCAGCTCTGGCTTGGTACATGTAGACTTCCCCTGGGCTTATGAGCTGCTGGCCTGTTCTCCTCATGTATGCTGAATAATCGCATCTCCCCGGCGTCAGGATGTGTGGATACATGCATGGACATAGTTCGACACATACGCGCGTTCCTACATTCATTAATTACCTACATACATACATTTACATACATATACATGCGTATACATACATGCAGACAGCCAGACAAACAGCCAGGCACGCAGGCAGACAGGCAGACAGACATGCAGACATCCATCCATTCCTCCATCCTTCCATCCACCCCCATGGATGCAAAGTACATTTATGTACCTATATGCATGAGTAAACATACATGAACGCTTGCATATATGTCAGACATCGGTGCTAGCAAAAATCGAGGCAAAAGCAAACACATCAGAGTTGAACCCATGCCCTTCATTTATGGGTTCAATGATAGTCTGTTCTCGGGTTGAGAGAGTTTCAGGGTATATATCAAGATCAAACGAGGCTTGGGCTTACGGTGGGCAGGGTCACGGTCCCAAACCGCTTTCGTGTTTGACAAATTCTGGAAAGAGTGCGTCGCCCGTGCCTCAAAACCGAAGCAAATCTTCGATAATCCTGGATGCTTGTTGAGCTTTGAGGTTCAACAAATGAGTAGCTGACGGACTGACTGACTGACTGGCTGACTGAAGGACTGTTGGACATTACCGGCACTGGCCCGCTGGCCAATCAACTCATCGACAAATTGACCGGCACTCTGCGTGAGCATTACGTCTGTGCCTTTGTGGCACTACCCTTGTGTACGCAGGTGCATCTGCATGTTTTATTGCAGGGAAGCTGCTCAACCTCTGCTTGTTCTGCACGGCATTCCTCCCAAAAGAACCCCGAGAAGCATTGATGTTAATGTCAGGGCAGTCAGGGCGATCCCGTTATAGTACCGATATATACTAACGCAGTATACCGCATACCCAAAAATCCCCTTTCAAGTTTTACGTTCTAGGGGGGTCTCAAAATTTTGAGGTCTTGAAGGCCAATACCCAAGAACAGAGACAACCTGTGCAAATCATCCAGGGAATGGAAGGGGCCTTATAAAGGGGTCTATAAGGGTTACTATAAGGGGATCTATAAGGGTACTATAATATAGGGGCCTTAGTAATCCTATAACTTAACACGCCAACAACTCCGAACACACCGGAACCCCTAAACCTACCAAAACACAGCCCATCCTGGAAAATCAGATCGCATGGGTTCCAAGGTTTTGCCCGTTCAGGCTTTCGGGTTCCGGCACGGGGCACTAAAGACGATATGAACAAGTGCGTGCTTTCAGGTCAGTTGCGGGTATGGCGGTTAAGACGCTCGCACCTTGAAAGCAACTCGCAGCAGCAGCTCATATCTGTGGAACACGAAAGACTGGATTAGCATCACGGTTGCGGATGATGCGCAGTGGCGAAAGCTGCACTTGCCTGCCGATTGGGGTATGCACTGAGTTTGAAGATCTGCTTCGCTTGAACACCCATTCTCCTGGGTTCTTGTTAAGGGGTTTAAGTTAAGTGAAATGATTTGGTTTCCTTACTTTGGCAACTTAAATTACACCCAAACCAAAAAACCTGAATCCTGTAAACCTTGAACCCTAAACCCTGTAAACCCTAACAAGAACCCAGGCATTTTCTTGCGTCCGGCCTCCTGGTACTCTGCCCTTGCCTTCTCTTGCTCCAACTCTGCCTTCTCGATTTTCTCATCCTCACTGTCTTCCAGCTGCTCCTATAGGCAGGAAGCAGATTGGGGTTGTAACAAAGGGGCCTTAATAGTTAGTGTATATATGCTATGTTTGTTTATTTGTTTTTTTTTTTTAGGGGGGGGGCTCCTTGTTAACAAATTATACTATAATCATATTATACCTGTAGCCAGGAAGCCGGTTTGGGTTGTAGCTGGTGCTGGCTTCTGGGTGCTGCACGACTCACAAGGAAGATCAAGGAAGTGGCAGCTTCAACGGGCTTCAGTGTCCCTATACCCCCCCCCGAAGGCATGACGCATGCCAATACTACATAACTACAGTAGTACTGGCAAAAGTGCTCTTCTACCGACATCGCGCCGGTGCTAATCCTCCTCCTGCTGCTCCTGGGAGGCTACCGAACCTGCCCCGTGCGAACGGAAATAATAAGACGTTATGCATCATCGTGGTACAGACGATTTCGAAGATGTATTCCGAGAAGGGGATCATTCTCCCGAGGATGGTGTGGCATCAGTGTCGACAGTGAAGCGCTGGAAATATCGAAGGTACTACTACATCGGAAACAGCAGTTGAATAGTGAACAACATGAAACCAAAAAGCCAGACAAAAATGGCAATCGAGCATCGACGGCACAACGCATCATCCCTGAGTAAACTCAGATGACTAGAAGTGCAGAAACAACTCCAAAAAACAGCCCCAAAATTTCCTGAACACGTCACGCAATAGAACACCAAACCCTAAGCCCTAATCCCACTGAGCCCCAAAGCCGACAGTCCTAACGACCCTAAAGCCTTAACATAAGGCCTCCAGAGTCAATAAATGTCTGGCGACATGATCTTTTCCTGTGGTTCAGATCTCCTAAACCCTAAACACTATAATGATTTAAAGATATCCGAAACCCTAAACCCCAATTGTCTAGATCCCTATACCATACTTCAGATACCCTGATAAGCTAATAACTTAGATCCCTATATGCCATAATGCAGAAATCCCAATTGCTAAACCCTGTAGTGATTTAGATCCCTATACTGTGAATCCTGAACCCTAGTGATTCAAGTCCATATATCAATACTCTACACAAGCCCTCAATCAAAGCCCCTACCGGTACCTACACGCCAAAAACAGGGATCCTACACATAAAACTAGGTACCCGAAAAACAAGGATACGAGTGGGTCCCGGTAGTGCAAGATCCTAAACAAACCCTATACTCGAGTTCAGATACCCTACATCCTAGACCCCAGCTCAAAGCCCCGATAATAGAATTTCAAGGGATCCGGCCCACTTGCTGTAATCGTTCATCAGACTCGAACGGGTCCTTGTTTTGGGAATTCTGGGGTTTCAGGTTGAGGAATCTCCAGTCTTCTGTGTTGCGTTGCAGGTTTTGCGGGACATTTATGCTTTTTGATGGGAATGGGTGGATTCCAGGAGTTTTTAGTGAATATAATATTAGGAGCCTGGCAGGTTTTCTACGTTACATAGGGCTTTGCCTCGAACTTTCTCTAAAGATTTAAGGCATGAGCATTTGCATATATGGGATGTTGATGGCTTTGAGCTTGCTTGCGCATTCAGCGTTCAGGATTTTGCTGGCTTCTGCTAAGTACTGCCGAGGGTTTGGAGTTTGGGAACTTTTGAATGGATTGAGGATTCGTTCTCTCTGTGCTCAGTGCTATGGATGCCAGGAGTTTTCCAAACAAAGAGATGCCGGGCGCAACTTAAACCCCAGGACCTAAACTGCGGCATTGGTGGGGGAGCTGTGCCTATCTATACCCTATAAAGCCTAAAGACTAAGTCAACGGCCCCAGAGCCCTGAGCCGTGTTCAACGGGAATTTGTAACATCGACGAGCAGGAACAGTAACGGTGGCTGTAAGCTCGTCTTGGAACCCATTGAACGACCCAGCGGATTTGCGTTGGCTCTGGATACTACACGAACACTACTAAACGAAACATAAGACACACAGCGCGTCCTGTTCAGCTCTTCCACGATTCCCAGTTTTTGTTTAAGCATTACCCACCCCGAACCAAAGCCCCTAACATGTAAATCCCAAACCCTTGTTTAAACTCCAAAGTTATAAGCTCTAATATCAAGCTCTCATACACCTATAGCTTACACATTCGAAGCGCTAAACTTTAAACTTTCAACCCTCCAAGCCCTAAAATCTAGAGAAACCCTGATCCCAAACCCCCCAGCCTTTGTCAAGCGAGTGGGCAGCGAAAGACGGCACTGGCAAACACCAAACACGACTGAACCCTCAAAAGGGCTTTAGGTTTAGGATTTATAGGGTGTAAAGTTCACATACAATCGGCTCAAGGGCAAGAACTGAGGGTCTGAGATTCTAAAAACCATAGTAGATGTTGATATCGAAATGTTCATGCGACACGATGACAACACTACCGTGACTATTGGACTTCTCAATAACCTACTCGTGTTTCTGACGCTGACCATCAAAAACCTTAAGCCCCCCACGTCCACAACCCTAAATCGTAAGACTTCAACCCCGGATTATCCCTAAACCCTGACGCCCCATAACCGAAACTTCTAAACCACAAGCTCTGAATATGATCGCCGACTCACGAAGCACGGGTACTTCTGGAGCCAGGCAGCAGGCAGGCCGTCAAACTTGGGGGGTTGGGGGGCGGTAACGGGGCGGGGCGTTTTAGGAGCTTATCGGCTTAAAGGTTTACGTAGGACATAAAGGGTTTGGATTTAAGCTTTAGTATTTGCGGCTTTGGGTTTAAGCTTTAAGTGTTAAGGGTTTGGGTTGGGTTTTCGGGGTTTAGGCATTGGTGCGTCCGCTACAAAGTAGGAGTTTCCTGACGCATCATGTGTTCGCAACGTCAACCACGAGCCAGAGACAGTCCAGAGACTTTGCGTAAACCCACCTCATCGAAGTCGAAGAAAGCCTTGGGGTCCTCTTAACACTTTGGTGCTTTCGGATTGCCTGAACAATCCGGGCATGAGCGTCGCATACTGAAGCACCTGGGAGGCCTCCGAGGTTGCGATGGCTCCGCGACCTCGGACCATGAGCCAGGAACCAGCACGCCATGCGACCACGCGAAAACCTGTAGGCCTGTCACTGCAGTTTTTCCGCTAAGTTCTCGGGCCTTCCCCCACATAGCTTGGGTGCAAGTCCAGAGCTCCTCAGCGCTCCTTTGGATGTAATTTGCAAGGCGTCGGGTCTGGGGACCTGCGCGAACAGTGCCTGAACTACGTGGCTTTGCGGGGGCCGTCACGTGGTTTGGACAACTTAGCGGACCACTTCTTTGCCTGGCCGGTTTCGAGGACCGAGCCTCCAGCAATGGGTGCCACATTTCTTTCACCCCATTGTGGGTGGCGTCCTGATCTCGGCCAAAGGAGGGTCCGTGCAGTTGGCGAGCACATACCCAAAGCGACATGGTCGCCCACCCTCTCGGCATGGAGAGCTGTCTGGGCAAAAGTGCCTGGCGCGGCAATGCGTAATCCTAATGCCGGCTGCGGGCAGGGCCTGTGTGGGAGGCAGTGGCTGATGGGCATCATCAATAACAAGGCAGCTCCATTGGCTAGGACAGTGGAGACTGGGAGTTCGTGTTCCGGGGCGTGAAAGCCAGCAAGGCACCACCATGCAACGCCAAGCTGAACAAAGTGAGAGATGACCTCATGCAGCAAGTCCGAGGAGAGCTGAGGGTAACCATAAAACGATGCCACGGCGAGCTTCTGCACAACGTCGCCAGTGGAAACTTCGTTAATTATAAGCCAGCGGCCACACGACTGTTGTAAGCTACATTCAAAAGCCAGTGGTTTGTGGCGAGCAGAAAGGTTAAGCCGAGTATAGAGACCGTGCCCGTCGCAGTTCCAGGTGAGGTGCGGTCGGTTTGGGGTCGACACTCCGCGCAAGCACTGGGCTTTCGCAGTCTGAACTTCAAACCATTTAATGATGCCAACATAAGCAACCTGAGGCTCGTGCAACCTGACGCGCAGGGCCAGCGGCAGCGTGGTGCCACACGCGTTTATGGCCTGATGCTAGCACAAACAGATTGAGTTCAGAGGCAGGAAGGTCGAGACCTCTGGCCAGTCGCGCATCATCCCGGTGATATCTGCGGCGCAGCCTGCCGCACTTGTTGAGGGCACCGCGGCGGCACGCTAACAGCAACCAGTCCCGAGGAATCCAATAGTAGGAGAAGCCCATCCCAGCCGAAAAGTGCGAAGCACACCATACTCGTCACAACGCTCGATGGTGTCACGTGTACGTCGGCCAGCCGTCCAGTGGTGCTTCGGCGAACAGAGCAGGGGCCTCAGGCAGCAGCGTAGGCCGTTTGTCGAAGGCCTGGTCCAACGGGACTTGGTCGGTCCAACGAGGTGGCCGCGTTTGCAACCTGAGTGCCGCGCAGAGGGTGCTCCACTCGGCCACGAACGTGGCTTCCGTCCACCAATCCATGCGGTCATGAAAAAGTAGTGTGGCAGCATCATGTAACAGACAACGACGAAAAGACACCCTTATGTCACCTGAAATGAATTGCAGCTGCTCCGGAGAAGGCTGAGCAAATCCGCCAGCCCACTGAAAAAGGGAATTGCCCAGGCTTCGCACGTGACGTAGAATCTCTCTGCGATTGCGCGAGGCACCTGCAAAGACCCGGGGTCTCACAAACCGAAGCAGGCGCTTAGGTTGAGTTGACGCACCATCAACCGCGAGCCGGTTCGCCAACAGACCGAGCAAAGGCCTATGGGCCTATATCCCTGTAGCAGTCGCGTCAAAATGCATGCACGGGCAACGGGGGGAGCCTGGCCGGGAGGACTGTATTCCATCCGGTCCGCTCCCAGCTCGTCGAAGACTCCAACTGAGTCGTTGTTGACCTCCATCTCCTGAGGGCCAGCAGGTCGCACTGACAAGTGCGAACAAACTCAAGGAATTCCCGCGCGGCAACCACCAGACCTCCCCGTGTTCATCGTGTAGAGAAGGATCACTGCGGCATACTGCGGCTGTTTCCCCACTGAGAGCATGTATCGATGGCTCTGGCCTAGCCTCCGTGATTCCGCTGGCTGCGGCAAGACGGCAAGACTACGCAGCTTGTTGAGCGCAGCCACTCTGCGATCAGCAGTCTTCGTCTTCGTGAGGGGCTTTAGGAGCTGAAGGGTTTAAAGGTTTCATTACGGCGTAAGGGGTTTGAGCTTTGGGCTTTAGTATGTGCGGTTTGGGGTTTAAGATTTAAGTGCTAAGGGTTTGGGGTGTTCGATTTTTGGGGCTTTTAGAGCATTGGTGCGTCGGCTGATCATGAGGAGCTTCCTGACGCAACAAATCAGAGACACATGTTCATAATGTCAACCACGAACCAGAGACGTTGTGTAAAGCCACCTTTTGCTGCTGGCTAATGTAAGGCCCTTGACGACAAACATTTATAATTTAATGAGATTGCTTCGGGGCAAGAAAACGGTTCAGCTATGCTAGGGAATATAAGGGAATAGCTCGAAATCGAGACTGTTTTCGTGCCCGCAGGACCCATGACAGCATGGCCCTCCCGTGAGATCGATTTGGAACCGGAAAAAAAGCCCGAGTGCACGACTGCACCCTGGCATGCTGCAGGCCGCTCACCACTTGTCAGCCTTGTTGTAGACGTAGTTGGCCACGTCCTGTCGTGCAAACCACAGCATACCGGAAAGGCTGCCAAACAGCATCGTAAACAGAAGCTGCTTTTATAGATCATGTCGTGTGGCAGCCAGAAACCCCTAGCACCTCCCCTGCACTTGCATGCCGGCCTCGATGTCATCGGGTCCCAGCTTCTCGCCGAAGGCAGGCATGGCGCCGTTGCCGTTGGTCACCTCTCTGCTCGACATACTGAACAGAACATGTGCCCAAAGCTTGAGGCTTCAAGAATGTTCGAGCAATCATGCATATGGACAGCATGGGACACATCCACAAAAACGGTCCCGTGGCCTGGGTGATGATGGCCTGGACGTCGTACTTGCCGTACTGGACAAGAGCTTCCTGGAATGCAAGTCTGCTGAAGCTTGCATAAGCGTACCCTTGGACGGTTAGGTCCCATTGATGCTACTCACATCTCCTTCTTGAGCTTCTTTTCGGCCACAATGGAGTTATTTCCGCCGGCGTGGCAGGCAGTGCAGTTGCCGTTGAAGATGGCCTCACCGTTCTCCAGGTCCGCGGCGAGAGCAGGTCGGCCAGTGGCCACGGCCATCAAGAGACCCAGGGCTGCACCGACAGCAAGCGGGCTCCAGGAAGCTGACTCGGGGGTGCCGTTGATGGCGCTTGGCTGTCCCACCACAGCACCCGACTCGGTCTGAGGTGGGCCCTTGGGCAGAGTGGTAGGCACGATGAAGCAGCTGGCACCGTACAGGGCCAGGGAGACAGCGCACACGATGCCAGCAACGCGGGACATGGTCTTTGTGCTGAGATTGAGGCTACAAACTGTCCCCTGCAACAGCCAAACGCCTGCCAAAGAACATGCTGTCTCAAGCATCATGCTGCTTTATGGACAGCAAAAGCCAGGAAGTAATTATCTGTCATTATCTGTCATTACATGCAAGCCGATGCTGCTGGGCACGATTTTGTCCTCGCCGGACCCATGACAGCATGGAACTCCGGTGAGTGTGAACCGGGTGCCTCGCTGGCAACCTTTCCGAGAGCTATATAGGCAGCCAGCTGTGGCCTAGTGCCTGCACGGTGGTATGCAGCTACACTGCGCACAATCAGCTGGGAGCGTGATCAAAGCATATTAAACGGAATCGAAAGCCTTTGAAAAGTTATAGGCTGCAGGCAGCTCACCACTTGTCAGCCTTGTTGTAGACGTAGTTGGCCACGTCCTGCTGGATGAACCAAAACATACGAGAAAGGCAGTCAAACCGTATGTTGAACAGAAGCTGCTCTTATAGAAATTCTTGGAAACCAAAGCAGGCATAGCCACAGCATGTCGCAGCCAAAAATTCAAACCCGTAGCACCACCGCTGCGCTTGCATGCCGGCCTCGATGTCATCGGGTCCCAGCTTCTCGCCGAAAGCAGGCATGGCACCGTTGCCGTTGGTCACCTAGGTGCTCGACATATTGAACATGTGTCCAAAGCTTGAGGCTTCAAGAATTCAAGAATGTTCCAGAAACCATGCGTATGGACCGCACGTGGCAGACACACATCCATCAATACGGTCCCGTGGCCTGGGTGATGATGGCCTGGACGTCGTACTTGCCGTACTGGACAAGAGCTTCCTGGAATGCAAGTCGGCTGAAGCTTGCATAAGCATACCCTTGGACGGCTAGGTCTCATTGATGCTATTCACATCTCCTTCTTGAGCTTCTTTTCGGCCACAATGGAGTTATTTCCGCCGGCGTGGCAGGCAGTGCAGTTGCCGTTGAAGATGGCCTCACCGTTCTCCAGGTCCGCGGCGAGAGCAGGTCGGCCAGTGGCCACGGCGATCAAGAGACCCAGGGCTGCACCGACAGCAAGCGGGCTCCAGGAGGCTGACTCGGGGGTGCCGTTGATGGCGCTTGGCTGTCCCACCACAGCACCCGACTCGGTCTGAGGTGCGCCCTTGGGCAGAGTGGTAGGCACGATGAAGCAGCTGGCACCGTACAGGGCCAGGGAGACAGTGCACACGATGCCAGCAACGCGGGACATGGTCTTTGTGCTGAGATTGAGGCTACAAATTGTCCCTAGCAACAGCCAAACGCCTGCCAAAGAACATGCTGTCTCAAGCATCATACTGCTTTATGGACAGCAAAAGCCAGGAAGTATCTGTCATTTCAAGCCGATGCTGCTGCGCACGATTTTGTCCTCGCCGGACCCATGACAGCATGGAACTCCGGTGAGTGTGAACCGGGTGCCTCGCTGGCAACCTTTCCGAGAGCTACATAGGCAGCCAGCTGTGGCCTAGTGCCTGCACGATGGTATGCAGCTACACTGCGCACAATCAGCTGGGAGCGTGATCAAAGCATATTAAACGGAATCGAAAGCCTTTGAAAAGTTATAGGCTGCAGGCAGCTCACCACTTGTCAGCCTTGTTGTAGACGTAGTTGGCCACGTCCTGCTGGATGAACCAAAACATACGAGAAAGGCAGTCAAACCGTATGTTGAACAGAAGCTGCTCTTACAGAAATTCTTGGAAACCAAAGCAGGCATAGCCACGGCATGTCGCAGCCAAAAATTCAAGCCCGTAGCACCACCGCTGCGCTTGCATGCCGGCCTCGATGTCATCGGGTCCCAGCTTCTCGCCGAAAGCAGGCATGGCACCGTTGCCGTTGGTCACCTAGGTGCTCGACATATTGAACATGTGTCCAAAGCTTGAGGCTTCAAGAATTCAAGAATGTTCCAGAAACCATGCGTATGGACCGCACGTAGCAGACACACATCCATCAAAACGGTCCCGTGGCCTGGGTGATGATGGCCTGGACGTCGTACTTGCCGTACTGGACCAGAGCTTCCTGGAATGCATGTCTGCTGAAGCTTGCATAAGCATACCCTTGGACGGCTAGGTCTCATTGATGCTATTCACATCTCCTTCTTGAGCTTCTTTTCGGCCACAATGGAGTTATTTCCGCCGGCGTGGCAGGCAGTGCAGTTGCCGTTGAAGATGGCCTCACCGTTCTCCAGGTCCGCGGCGAGAGCAGGTCGGCCAGTGGCCACGGCGATCAAGAGACCGAGGGCGGCACCGACAGCAAGCGGGCTCCAGGAGGCTGACTCGGGGGTGCCGTTGATGGCGCTTGGCTGTCCCACCACAGCACCCGACTCGGTCTGAGGTGCGCCCTTGGGCAGAGTGGTAGGCACGATGAAGCAGCTGGCACCGTACAGGGCCAGGGAGACAGCGCACACGATGCCAGCAACGCGGGACATGGTCTTTGTGCTGAGATTGAGGCTACAAATTGTCCCTAGCAACAGCCAAACGCCTGCCCAAGAACATGCTGTCGCAAGCATCCTGGACAACGAAAACATGAACAAAGCTCTTGCGCAGACGGATCCTGCTGTGCCTCGCGCTGGTACCGATTTTATGCTCAAGATAGGACCCATGACAGCATGGAACTCCTGTCAGTGTGAAATGCGTGCCTCGCTGGCAACCTCTGGCAACCTTGCTCAGCCGGACTGTCGCCTAGTGCATGTGGTATGCAAAGGCACGATTGCACGATCAACTGCGATAGGCTTGGAAAGATTAACCGGGATCGAGAGCCTTTAAAAGCCTCGATGCCGCAAGAGCAGCTCACCACTTGTCAGCCTTGTTGTAGACGTAGTTGGCCACATCCTGCTGAAGGAACCGAAACATGCCCACAAGGCCGTCAGGTCGTCAGACAGCATCGTCTACTACTCTCGCTAGTCTGAAAGATCTGGTATTAGCGTGTCTATAAGCCAGAAAACCGTAGCATCGCCACTGCACTTGCATGCCGGCCTCGATGTCATCGGGTCCCAGCTTCTCGCCGAAAGCAGGCATGGCACCGTTGCCGTTGGTCACCTCTCTGCTCGACATATTGCACATGTGTCCAAAGCTTGATGCTTCAAGACTCCTCCAGCAATCATGCGTATGGACCGCACGGGGCAGACACACTTCCACCAAAACGGCTTCGTGGCCTGGGTGATGATGGCCTGGACGTCGTACTTGCCGTACTGGACAAGAGCTTCCTGGAATGCAAGTCGGCTGAAGCTTGCATAGGCATACCCTTGGACGGCTAGGTCTCATTGATGCTATTCACATCTCCTTCTTGAGCTTCTTTTCGGCCACAATGGAATTATTTCCGCCGGCGTGGCAGGCAGTGCAGTTGCCGTTGAAGATGGCCTCACCGTTCTCCAGGTCCGCGGCGAGAGCAGGTCGGCCAGTGGCCACGGCGATCAAGAGACCCAGGGCTGCACCGACAGCAAGCGGGCTCCAGGAGGCTGACTCGGGGGTGCCGTTGATGGCGCTTGGCTGTCCCACCACAGCACCCGACTCGGTCTGAGGTGCGCCCTTGGGCAGAGTGGTAGGCACGATGAAGCAGCTGGCACCGTACAGGGCCAGGGAGACAGCGCACACGATGCCAGCAACGCGGGACATGGTCTTTGTGCTGAGATTGAGGCTACAAACTGTCCCCTGCAACAGCCAAACGCCTGCCAAAGAACATGCTGTCTCAAGCATCATGCTGCTTTATGGACAGCAAAAGCCAGGAAGTAATTATCTGTCATTATCTGTCATTACATGCAAGCCGATGCTGCTGGGCACGATTTTGTCCTCGCCGGACCCATGACAGCATGGAACTCCGGTGAGTGTGAACCGGGTGCCTCGCTGGCAACCTTTCCGAGAGCTATATAGGCAGCCAGCTGTGGCCTAGTGCCTGCACGGTGGTATGCAGCTACACTGCGCACAATCAGCTGGGAGCATGATCAAAGGATATTAAACGGAATCGAAAGCCTTTGAAAAGTTATAGGCTGCAGGCAGCTCACCACTTGTCAGCCTTGTTGTAGACGTAGTTGGCCACGTCCTGCTGCATGAACCAAAACATACGAGAAAGGCAGTCAAACCGCATGCTAAACATAAGCTGCTCTCATAGATTTCTTGTAAACCGTAGCAGGCATAGCCGAAGCATGTCTATAAGCCATAAAACCGTAGCACCGCCACTGCACTTGCATGCCGGCCTCGATGTCATCGGGTCCCAGCTTCTCGCCGAAAGCAGGCATGGCACCGTTGCCGTTGGTCACCTAGCTGCTCGACATATTGAACATGTGTCCAAAGCTTGACGCTTCAAGACTGTTCGAGCAATCATGCATATGGACAGCATGGGGCACATCCACAAAAACGGTCGAGTGGCCTGGGTGATGATGGCCTGGACGTCGTACTTGCCGTACTGGACCAGAGCTTCCTGAAATGCAAGTCTGCTGAAGCTTGCATAAGCATACCCTTGGACGACTAGGTCTCGTTGATGCTACTCACATCTCCTTCTTGAGCTTCTTTTCGGCCACAATGGAGTTATTTCCGCCGGCGTGGCAGGCAGTGCAGTTGCCGTTGAAGATGGCCTCACCGTTCTCCAGGTCCGCGGCGAGAGCAGGTCGGCCAGTGGCCACGGCCATCAAGAGACCCAGGGCTGCACCGACAGCAAGTGGGCTCCAGGAAGCTGACTCGGGGGTGCCGTCGATGGCGCTTGGCTGTCCCACCACAGCACCCGACTCGGTCTGAGGTGCGCCCTTGGGCAGAGTGGTAGGCACGATGAAGCAGCTGGCACTGTAGAGGGCCAAGGAAACAGCGCACACGATGCCAGCAACGCGGGACATGGTCTTTGTGCTGAGATTCAGGCTACAACTCGTCCCTAGCAACAGCCAAACGCCTGCCCAAGAACATGCTGTCGCAAGCATCCTGGACAACGAAAACATGAACAAAGCTCTTGCGCAGACGGATCCTGCTGTGCCTCGCGCTGCACCGATTTTATGCTCAAGATAGGACCCATGACAGCATGGAACTCCTGTCAGTGTGAAATGCGTGCCTCGCTGGCAACCTCTGGCAACCTTGCTACAGCCGAACTGTCGCCTAGTGCACGTGGTGTGCAAAGGCACGATTGCACAATCAACTTCGATAGGCTTGGAAAGATTAAACGGGATCGAGAGCCTTTAAAAGCCTCGACGCCGCAAGAGCAGCTCACCACTTGTCAGCCTTGCTGTAGACGTAGTTGGCCACATCCTGCTGAAGGAACCGAAACATGCCCGCAAGGCCGTCAGGTCGTCAGACAGCATCGTATACTACTCTGGCTAGTCTGAAAGATCTTGTTTTAGCATGCCTATAACAGAAAACCGTAGACCGTCGCTTCACTTGCATGCCGGCCTCAATGTCATCGGGTCCCAGCTTCTCGCCGAAAGCAGGCATGGCACCGTTGCCGTTGGTCACCTCTCTGCTCGACATATTGCACATGTGTCCAAAGCTTGATGCTTCAAGACTCCTCCAGCAATCATGCGTATGGACCGCACGGGGCAGACACACTTCCACCAAAACGGTCCCGTGGCCTGGGTGATGATGGCCTGGACGTCGTACTTGCCGTACTGGACAAGAGCTTCCTGGAATGCAAGTCTGCTGAAGCTTGCATAAGCATACCCTTGGACGGCTAGGTCTCATTGATGCTATTCACATCTCCTTCTTGAGCTTCTTTTCGGCCACAATGGAGTTATTTCCGCCGGCGTGGCAGGCAGTGCAGTTGCCGTTGAAGATGGCCTCACCGTTCTCCAGGTCCGCGGCGAGAGCAGGTCGGCCAGTGGCCACGGCGATCAAGAGACCCAGGGCTGCACCGACAGCAAGCGGGCTCCAGGAAGCTGACTCGGGGGTGCCGTCGATGGCGCTTGGCTGTCCCACCACAGCACCCGACTCGGTCTGAGGTGCGCCCTTGGGCAGAGTGGTAGGCACGATGAAGCAGCTGGCACCGTAGAGGGCCAGGGAGACAGCGCACACGATGCCAGCAACACGGGACATGGTCTTTGTGCTGAGATTCAGGCTACAAATTGTCCCTATAGCAACAGCCAAACGCCTGCCAACAAGCATGTGTTCTCAAGCATACCAGACAATAGAAACATGAAGGAAAATCTTGCGCAGACGGATCCTGCTGTGCCACGCACTGTACCGATTTTATGCTGAAGATAGGACCCATGACAGCATGGAACTCCTGTCAGTCTGAAATGCGTGCCTCGCCGTCAACCTCTGGCAACCTTGCTACAGCCGAACTGTCGCCTAGTGCACGTGGTATGCAAAGGCACCATTGCACAATCAACTGCGATAGGCTTGGAAAGATTAAACGGGATCGAGAACCTTTAAAGGCCTCGATCGCCGCAAGAGCAGCTCACCACTTGTCAGCCTTGCTGTAGACGTAGTTGGCCACATCCTGCTGAAGGAACCGAAACATGCCCACAAGGCCGTCAGGTCGTCAGACAGCATCGTATACTACTCTGGCTAGTCTGAAAGATCTTGCTTTAGCATGCCTATAACAGAAAACCGTAGACCGTCGCTTCACTTGCATGCCGGCCTCAATGTCATCGGGTCCCAGCTTCTCGCCGAAAGCAGGCATGGCACCGTTGCCGTTGGTCACCTCTCTGCTCGACATATTGCACATGTGTCCAAAGCTTGATGCTTCAAGACTCCTCCAGCAATCATGCGTATGGACCGCACGGGGCAGACACACATCCACCAAAACGGTCCCGTGGCCTGGGTGATGATGGCCTGGACGTCGTACTTGCCGTACTGGACCAGAGCTTCCTGGAATGCATGTCTGCTGAAGCTTGCATAAGCATACCCTTGGACGGCTAGGTCTCGTTGATGCTACTCACATCTCCTTCTTGAGCTTCTTTTCGGCCACAATGGAGTTATTTCCGCCGGCGTGGCAGGCAGTGCAGTTGCCGTTGAAGATGGCCTCACCGTTCTCCAGGTCCGCGGCGAGAGCAGGTCGGCCAGTGGCCACGGCGATCAAGAGACCCAGGGCTGCACCGACAGCAAGCGGGCTCCAGGAAGCTGACTCGGGGGTGCCGTCGATGGCGCTTGGCTGTCCCACCACAGCACCCGACTCGGTCTGAGGTGCGCCCTTGGGCAGAGTGGTAGGCACGATGAAGCAGCTGGCACCGTAGAGGGCCAGGGAGACAGCGCACACGATGCCAGCAACACGGGACATGGTCTTTGTGCTGAGATTGTGGCTACAAATTGTCCCTATAGCAACAGCCAAACGCCTGCCAACAAGCATGTGTTCTCAAGCATACCAGACAATAGAAACATGAAGGAAGCTCTTGCGCAGACGGATCCTGCTGTGCCACGCACTGTACCGACTTTATGCTGAAGATAGGACCCATGACAGCATGGAACTCCTGTCAGTCTGAAATGCGTGCCTCGCCGTCAACCTCTGGCAACCTTGCTACAGCCGAACTGTCGCCTAGTGCACGTGGTATGCAAAGGCACGATTGCACAATCAACTGCGATAGGCTTGGAAAGATTAAACGGGATCGAGAACCTTTAAAGGCCTCGACGCCGCAAGAGCAGCTCACCACTTGTCAGCCTTGCTGTAGACGTAGTTGGCCACATCCTGCTGAAGGAACCGAAACATGCCCACAAGGCCGTCAGGTCGTCAGACAGCATCGTATACTACTCTGGCTAGTCTGAAAGATCTTGCTTTAGCATGCCTATAACATAAAACCGTAGCACCGCCGCTGCGCTTGCATGCCGGCCTCGATGTCATCGGGTCCCAGCTTCTCGCCGAAAGCAGGCATGGCACCGTTGCCGTTGGTCACCTCTCTGCTCGACATATTGTACATGTGTCCAAAGCTTGATGCTTCAAGACTCCTCCAGCAATCATGCGTATGGACCGCACGGGGCAGACACACTTCCACCAAAACGGCTTCGTGGCCTGGGTGATGATGGCCTGGACGTCGTACTTGCCGTACTGGACCAGAGCTTCCTGGAATGCATGTCTGCTGAAGCTTGCATAAGCATACCCTTGGACGGCTAGGTCTCGTTGATGCTACTCACATCTCCTTCTTGAGCTTCTTTTCGGCCACAATGGAGTTATTTCCGCCGGCGTGGCAGGCAGTGCAGTTGCCGTTGAAGATGGCCTCACCGTTCTCCAGGTCCGCGGCGAGAGCAGGTCGGCCAGTGGCCACGGCGATCAAGAGACCCAGGGCTGCACCGACAGCAAGCGGGCTCCAGGAGGCTGACTGGGGGGTGCCGTTGATGGCGCTTGGCTGTCCCACCACAGCACCCGACTCGGTCTGAGGTGCGCCCTTGGGCAGAGTGGTAGGCACGATGAAGCAGCTGGCACCGTACAGAGCCAGGGAGACAGCGCACACGATGCCAGCAACGCGGGACATGGTCTTTATGCTGAGATTGTGGCTACAAATCGTCCCTAGCAACAGCCAAACGCCTGCCCAAGAACATGCTGTCGCAAGCATCCTGGACAACGAAAACATGAACAAAGCTCTTGCGCAGACGGATCCTGCTGTGCCTCGAGCTGTACCGATTTTATGCTCAAGATAGGACCCATGACAGCATGGAACTCCTGTCAGTGTGAAATGCGTGCCTCGCTGGCAACCTCTGGCAACCTTGCTACAGCCGAACTGTCGCCTAGTGCACGTGGTATGCAAAGGCACCATTGCACGATCAACTGCGATAGGCCTGGAAAGATTAAACGGGACCGAGAGCCTTTAAAAGCCTCGATGCCGCAAGAGCAGCTCACCACTTGTCAGCCTTGTTGTAGACGTAGTTGGCCACATCCTGCTGAAGGAACCGAAACATGCCCACAAGGCCGTGAGGTTGTCAGACAGCATCGTATACTACTCTGGCTAGTCTGAAAGATCTTGTTTTAGCATGCCTATAACATAAAACCGTAGCACCGCCGCTGCGCTTGCATGCCGGCCTCGATGTCATCGGGTCCCAGCTTCTCGCCGAAAGCAGGCATGGCACCGTTGCCGTTGGTCACCTCTCTGCTCGACATATTGCACATGTGTCCAAAGCTTGATGCTTCAAGACTCCTCCAGCAATCATGCGTATGGACCGCACGGGGCAGACACACATCCACCAAAACGGTCCCGTGGCCTGGGTGATGATGGCCTGGACGTCGTACTTGCCGTACTGGACCAGAGCTTCCTGGAATGCATGTCTGCTGAAGCTTGCATAAGCATACCCTTGGACGGCTAGGTCTCGTTGATGCTACTCACATCTCCTTCTTGAGCTTCTTTTCGGCCACAATGGAGTTATTTCCGCCGGCGTGGCAGGCAGTGCAGTTGCCGTTGAAGATGGCCTCACCGTTCTCCAGGTCCGCGGCGAGAGCAGGTCGGCCAGTGGCCACGGCGATCACGAGACCCAGGGCTGCACCGACAGCAAGCGGGCTCCAGGAGGCTGACTCGGGGGTGCCGTTGATGGCGCTTGGCTGTCCCACCACAGCACCCGACTCGGTCTGAGGTGCGCCCTTGGGCAGAGTGGTAGGCACGATGAAGCAGCTGGCACCGTAGAGGGCCAGGGAAACAGCGCACACGACGCCAGCAACGCGGGACATGGTTTTAGTGCTGAGATTGTGGCTACAAACCGTCCCTAGCAACAGCCAAACGCCTGCCAACAAGCATGTGTTCTCAAGCATACCAGACAATAGAAACATGAAGGAAGCTCTTGCGCAGACGGATCCTGCTGTGCCACGCGCTGTACCGATTTTATGCTGAAGATAGGACCCATGACAGCATGGAACTCCTGTCAGTGTGAAATGCGTGCCTCGCTGGCAACCTCTGGCAACCTTGCTACAGCCGAACTGTCGCCTAGTGCACGTGGTATGCAAAGGCACCATTGCACGATCAACTGCGATAGGCCTGGAAAGATTAAACGGGACCGAGAGCCTTTAAAAGCCTCGATGCCGCAAGAGCAGCTCACCACTTGTCAGCCTTGTTGTAGACGTAGTTGGCCACATCCTGCTGAAGGAACCGAAACATGCCCACAAGGCCGTGAGGTTGTCAGACAGCATCGTATACTACTCTGGCTAGTCTGAAAGATCTTGTTTTAGCATGCCTATAACATAAAACCGTAGCACCGCCGCTGCGCTTGCATGCCGGCCTCGATGTCATCGGGTCCCAGCTTCTCGCCGAAAGCAGGCATGGCACCGTTGCCGTTGGTCACCTCTCTGCTCGACATATTGCACATGTGTCCAAAGCTTGATGCTTCAAGACTCCTCCAGCAATCATGCGTATGGACCGCACGGGGCAGACACACTTCCACCAAAAAAGGTTCGCGGCCTGGGTGATGATGGCCTGGACGTCGTACTTGCCGTACTGGACAAGAGCTTCCTGGAATGCAAGTCTGCTGAAGCTTGCATAAGCATACCCTTGGACGGCTAGGTCTCGTTGATGCTACTCACATCTCCTTCTTGAGCTTCTTTTCGGCCACAATGGAGTTATTTCCGCCGGCGTGGCAGGCAGTGCAGTTGCCGTTGAAGATGGCCTCACCGTTCTCCAGGTCCGCGGCGAGAGCAGGTCGGCCAGTGGCCACGGCGATCAAGAGACCCAGGGCTGCACCGACAGCAAGCGGGCTCCAGGAAGCTGACTCGGGGGTGCCGTCGATGGCGCTTGGCTGTCCCACCACAGCACCCGACTCGGTCTGAGGTGCGCCCTTGGGCAGAGTGGTAGGCACGATGAAGCAGCTGGCACTGTAGAGGGCCAGGGAGACAGCGCACACGATGCCAGCAACGCGGGACATGGTTTTAGTGCTGAGATTGAGGCTACAAACCGTCCCTAGCAACAGCCAAACGCCTGCCAACAAGCATGTGTTCTCAAGCATACCAGACAATAGAAACATGAAGGAAGCTCTTGCGCAGACGGATCCTGCTGTGCCACGCACTGTACCGATTTTATGCTGAAGATAGGACCCATGACAGCATGGAACTCCTGTCAGTGTGAAATGCGTGCCTCGCTGGCAACCTCTGGCAACCTTGCTACAGCCGAACTGTCGCCTAGTGCACGTGGTATGCAAAGGCACGATTGCACAATCAACTGCGATAGGCTTGGAAAGATTAAACGGGATCGAGAGCCTTTAAAAGCCTCGACGCCGCAAGAGCAGCTCACCACTTGTCAGCCTTGCTGTAGACGTAGTTGGCCACATCCTGCTGAAGGAACCGAAACATGCCCACAAGGCCGTCAGGTCGTCAGACAGCATCGTCTACTACTCTGGCTAGTCTGAAAGATCTTGTTTTAGCATGCCTATAACATAAAACCGTAGCACCGCCGCTGCGCTTGCATGCCGGCCTCGATGTCATCGGGTCCCAGCTTCTCGCCGAAAGCAGGCATGGCACCGTTGCCGTTGGTCACCTCTCTGCTCGACATATTGCACATGTGTCCAAAGCGTGATGCTTCAAGACTCCTCCAGCAATCATGCGTATGGACCGCACGGGGCAGACACACTTCCACCAAAAAAGGTTCGCGGCCTGGGTGATGATGGCCTGGACGTCGTACTTGCCGTACTGGACCAGAGCTTCCTGGAATGCAAGTCTGCTGAAGCTTGCATCAGCATACCCTTGGACGGCTAGGTCTCGTTGATGCTACTCACATCTCCTTCTTGAGCTTCTTTTCAGCCACAATGGAGTTATTTCCGCCGGCGTGGCAGGCAGTGCAGTTGCCGTTGAAGATGGCCTCACCGTTCTCCAGGTCCGCGGCGAGAGCAGGTCGGCCAGTGGCCACGGCGATCAAGAGACCCAGGGCTGCACCGACAGCAAGCGGGCTCCAGGAGGTTGACTCGGGGGTGCCGTTGATGGCGCTTGGCTGTCCCACCACAGCACCCGACTCCGTCTGAGGCGCGCCCTTGGGCAGAGTGGTAGGCACGATGAAGCAGCTGGCACCATAGAGGGCCAGGGAGACAGCGCACACGATGCCAGCAACGCGGGACATGGTCTTTATGTGCGGCTCGGACGTGGAAGCTTCTGGCTTTCGTCTGCTGGCCAAATGCCTGCGAATATAATGCAAACTCTTGCATAGTCATGAGGGTCACCAAGACTTGCCAATGCTGTCAACTTCAGTCTCAGTGGGGCTTGCAGAACTGCAATTTTCAGACGTCTTCCGCCGCTTCACTGTGCAGCACGTCAGCAACGGACTTCTGCTTCTGTGCCTGCACTCCCAGCAACAACTACTGAGGAACTACTGATGCCTGCTTGTGATAACACCCGCAATTGCAAAAGATTCCAGTCTAAGTCTAGTAGACACTACTTTTGGTAACAACCGTGATCCCTCTTCCATTTTCATCATGACTCTCATCACTACCCATATCATCATCTTACCCATGTTCATCATCGGCATCGCCTGCCATGACCTAGTCAGTAATCGTCCAAGTCATAATAGTGACGGAAACTGGGCGACCTGAACATAGGTTAAGACCCGAAGAAGTCGGAACAACTTTGAATGACCGCCTCGCTGATGTACACCAATAGTTATAGTAAGTAGATTCCCACATCACAACACGAAAGCACCATGACTCCTAAACCCTAAACCCTACAGAACCCGAAGCCCCTCACCTGTTAAAGATCCTTTTTTATAAACTCCTTATCGATCCCTTTAAACGAACCCTAAACCCTAAACCCGACGGCCTGAGCCATCCCAGAGTCCAGCAGATACTGGAGGATGCTGATGCACTGCGACGTCAGCCTCGACGCCCGTTTAGGGTTTACTTGAAGGATCATGGGACTTAGTAACTATGGTTATCATTAGGGTACTATACTTATAACTACCTATAACCCTAATTAAGGTTTAGGGGGCGATCTCACTTTGGGCCCTTAATAATTGGAATAGGGTTTTGGGGCCCACTATACCGTAATTATAATGAGGAACCACCAAAATAGCATTGTTTAGGCCCCTATAGTAGGCCTTCTTCTTGACGACTGAAAGGGTCAGCACACCGTCAACCCTTCGACAGCTGTTGATGGATTCAGTGCTAACCTGGCCCTACAACACTCACTCCTGTGTGTGAGGCTGGCCGACTGGCACAAGATCGAGCTCGAAACCCAAAACCCCTGAAACCTATGGCTCTACAGCCTAGTCCAAAGCACAACCGAGTGACAAAGGAGTTGGCCCCAAAGAGATTGCAGAAGCGCCAAAGTCGCTGACCAGCCTGCGGATTAGAGCTGACTGTATAGTGGACTATATTCTCTCTCTCTCTCTCTCTCTCTCTCTCTCTCTCTCTCTCTCTATATATGTATATATCAATAGCAGTTAACCAATAAACGAGAATGTCAAATGCTTAATATGTGATACTTTTTGCTCACCATACAATAACAAAGATATATGATATAAGGTCCAAGCTATACTATCATACCGTAAACAAGGTATACTGTGTAAGTAAAGCTTGCTAGAATAGTTTTACAAGGATTCTGCAAGTGTTCTATACACATTACTATAAAGGTTACAAAGCAATGTAGCAATAAGGCTCTATGAGGTTTACTATACGGTTCGCAACAAGGGTGCGAACAAGGGAAAGGGTTAGGGAACACAATACCCAGAATCATGAGGTTCTATACAGGCAACTACAATAAGGGTTACTATCCGGGCGTTGATGAGGTTGCCGCAAGGACTACAACGAGAGTGCAAAACAAGTTATGATTCCGTTTCTGCCAGAGTTCTTATTCAGGCCCAAGAACATGCCTACTGAAGGTCTACTACAGGGGTTGTGTAAGGGTTGCGTAAAGGGTTCTATACGACGATCCCAGCGAATTGCACGTGGAGTGGAAGGAGGCGACATCAACCAAGTCCCATGCCCAACAACACTTCCACAGAATCTTGAAGCTGAGCCGCTAGTTTCTAGAGCCTGCCATGTACGAAATATTCGTAGAGAGTGCAAAGTTCGAGGCCCTACTCTCAAGCGGGAGCCCCTCCGTCGAAGCACCGATAGCCTTCCCATCGCCACAGGCCGTAGACCGATGTGGTCGCCCACTACGACGACGAGGTGCTCCAGGCGCTGAGAGCCGCGGAGACATCCGTGGACTCAAGGACGGGCTAAGGTTTATGGTTCAGGGCTTTGAGTTTAGGGGTCAGCACGCCAGGAGGAACCGCGAAAAAGTTTGGGACGTAAGCCGTGTCTGAACGTGGAAGGCAGTACTCGCGATGAGACGGCAACGGCGGTTGCCATGCTGACAAGGAGCACCAAGCATTGTCTTGTACTGATATCGCACATTTTTCAGATAAGTGGAAGGTAAGCGCGTTATTAGCTCAAGACACTGTCAATGACTCGTGTGTGGCCAGAGCCGGCGGCCTCATCTGCCGCAGCTAATGCAAGCTCCTCAACACTCAGTTTAGGATTCCGGAGGTTACGGCTTTAGGTTAGGGGTTTAGGGTTCATTTCAACCCTATATTATGTATATATATATATATATATATATATATATATACATGCTTATATATATAAGATATACAATATAGTATATTATACTATATTGTATTATATTATAATATGTATATATATATACCGTTATGTGTATATATATATATTATATATATATATATATATAGATGCATAGATTTTTATGAATACATGAGTTTATGAATACACGTATACATATTCAACATGACATGTCGGATGCCAAGAACACAGGAGAGCTCCTCGGAGGCATCTGCCGCTGCATCCTGAACAATCATAGAGACCCTTAGGGGGGTAGGGGGCCTTAATGCCCTGAATAAGGACCTAATAAGGCCTATTTAAGGAAGTATAGTCCCCTATTCCCCTCCCCCCTACACCCCTAAGAGTCCCTATGAAACACTGTCTCTGCAAATCGGTGTTGTTTCGGGGTTTCGGGTCTGCCGTTTGGGGTTCCGGGCTTAGACTATATGTGCTAGAGCAATACCATCATGTACTAGAGTGCGCAATCACGTGCCATAATCTACTATCTTATACTTTTGCTTCTTTGGGAGATTGGACTTGACCGGGCTTTTGCAAAAGTGGTTTGAGAGACAGTAGCAGTAAGCTTAAAATGCACAGTCGCGAGCAAACGGAAAGCCCCATGGATGGACAGAATCTTTCTAGGGTTTCATAAGGCTTCTCTTTATATATAGAGGCTTGCAGAATCAGAAAAGAGTTTTGGGGCATAGCTATAATCATAGTAAGCTGCCCTCAATGTTACTATGCGTCAGCAGGAGGCCTCACGAAGCACCAACAGCCGAGAGCGTCCGCGAGCCTGATGCCGCTTTCAAGCTTTGGCCGTTAAGCCTGTGTTCTGTGGCCTGGCTTCGGGAGAACAACCCAAGACCTGTAGCCCTATAGATCTTGAGGCCGACCTTACAGGAAACAATCACCTGGACCCCAAAAGTATGTAGAATAATGGCCTTTTATAGGTTTTGGGGCCATTATTTTACCTACTTTTGAGGATCTAGGCAAGAGCCATGAACCTCCAAGAATTGGAAGAAAGTCGGTCCAAGGCACTGGGCGGCTGGCAATAAGTTACGAGGCATTAGGTTTATGCGGCTGGGGCCAAGATGAACGTGTACCTGTACGGGTGTTTGCTTATGTGTCCGTCTATGTATGTGCATATGCAACTCAGTGTAAACATGGCATGTGCATGTCATTGCATGTCCGTTCGTATGATCACGCTTATGTCTGGTTATGACAAGGAGTATGTACGCATGGATGGGCGTATTTTTAGGTATGTGTACCTGTACATACGTATATATGCATATATATATATATACATATATATATATATACATAACTGATAAGAGGCATATATAGCCGTGTATACAGACATACTTACATGCATGCATGCATGCATACATACATGCATGCATAGATACAAAACCATAGAGTACTCTGCGCCAGGCTACACTACACTACACTGCAAGACAATGCAGTAAATATAATCGACATCAATATGACCCATGTATACATATACATGCAATCTGTGTATATTACATATATATATATATATGTGTGTGTGTGCATATGTGTATGCCTGTCTGTCTGTCTGTCTGTCTGTCTGTCTGTCTGTCTGTCTCTGTCCGTCTGTCTGTCTGCCTGTCTGCATGCATGTTTCTGTACACGTGCATAAATGCATACATACATCATGCATCCACAGTACACAGGTACGTAGAAATAGACAGACGGATATAGGGAGCCGCTCCTCCTCTTGCTGATTCAAGCTACGCGCCAAGCGGGAGAACGGGAGCGTAGCAACTGGGCCTCGAGGATCCGATGAAGAAGCCTTGCTGGAGCACCGATTGTATGTGGGGATTGGTAGAGTCTAGGGTTCAAGAGTTTATAAAGGTTGGTGCAAAGGCTTAGGATTCGGAGTTCGAGGTTTAATGCTCAGGTTCGAGATCCGGGCCTAAGTCTTTGGCCTCGGTGCCAGCGTTTCGGACCAGACGCGGCTTCTTTCTCTTTGTCTGTGAAGAAAGCTGCAACTGCTATCTTGCTCTGTACATCGGCCCGATGGCAAGGAACCCCAAGTGTCTGGGTCCCGTGCGATCGTAAGGACTCCTGTCATCGATAATTGAACATTGCTTGAGCGCGAAGGCATTTGAGGATTTCGGTTCCTGCTTGGGAATACTTGGAGGATCATGGGACTTAGCAAGTAAGTACCTTAATTGTGGTTTTAAGTAGTTATAAGTATAGTTACCCTAACTATAACCCTAGTTACTTAGTCCCATGATCCTTTAAGAAGGACTGTTGAGTCTCCAGGGCAATGGGCCTTTGACCTGGGCTGGAGGCTTCAGACTCACTATTTGGACCTAGGCTTTGACAGTGGGCGAAGAGGGTCTGGGCATGGTTAGGGTAGACTGCAGTTAGTCAAGTCTCGGTGAACCAGGCACCCTATTGAGTTCACTGTTGGGAATGATTCATTTAGAGTTGTATATTACGTAACCATGGCTATCTTAACTTGAAGTCTTCCTCCACGCTATGCCCAAGGAATTAGCCGGCTACATTTCTGTTCGACTGTCACGCTTGCTGAGCTCACGCGCTGTGCTTTGAAAGCTTATAATCGAACACTGTCAGCTTTGCTAGATTACCTGTCCTCGCTTGTCTTTCAGAGGGTATGAGAGATTGAGGCTGCTTTCATTGTCAACTAGCAGCAGTATAGAGCGGGTTTAGGTGTGTGACCGAACTCATGAATTCTCAAGCCATGATTGTTCTGCCTGCGCCCAGAAACTGATGCGTGGATACAAAGCCAACTTTAACCCTGAATAACCTACCTTTTAGGGTGCCTTATTATGGTTTCTTTCTACAAATCCTTAAATAGGTTATTCCGGGTTAAGGAAAAGCCAAGAATCATCCGGCCTCCTCCCAACAGCTCCAACCTGGCTCCTCTTCGCCTTTACATCGGAGCAGCTTTAGATCCAAGGTTCCCAATAGCCATAGCCACCTACTTGTCGGAAATTTCTGTTTGGTTCAATCATGCAGGCATCATGCTGGCTATGAACACGAAACCGACATAAGTATGGGAGTTTCAGAACATTAAGGGCCCGAAGCGATTGTCAGAAAGCCCTTGACTTTCTACGGAAGCCTACTGGTATGCATTATCGGCTTTCTGCAATTGTATACCAACGGAGGTTCACGCTTTGTTACAATAGCCAGGAACTAACAACGGCTATAGATAGCTATAGCAGCTATGTGTCGCACCAGAAACCTTACGGTGGAGTAATATCTAAAAAACATATCACGTTGAAAGCAGTGGCAGCAGCAACAACTGTCATAGAAACAAGAAGCAGACGAGGCCTTCCAAGAGCCGCTTGAGGGCCGCGCCGAGATTCCGCCTCGGGAGGAATCTACAGAAAAGTTTGCAATTCACTTGCAAAGCAAAACCACAGCAAGAAGAACAACCGTTGCTGTCAGACAATGGAAGCAGCAGCAGGAGCAGGAGCAGGAGCAGGAGCAGGAGCAGGAGCAGGAGCAGGAGCAGGAGCAGGAGCAGGAGCAGGAGCAGGAGCAGGAGCAGTAGTAGTAGTAGTAGTAGTAGTAGTAGTAGTAGTAGTAGTAGTAAGTCGTAGTAGTAGTAGTAGTAGTAGTAGTAGTAGTAGTAGTAGTAGTAGTAGTAGTAGTAGTAGTAGTAGTAGTAGTAGTAGTAGTAGTAGTAGTAGTAGTAGTAGTAGTCGTAGTCGTAGTCGTAGTAGTCGTAGTAGTAGTAAAGTAGTAGTAGTAGTAGTAGTAGTAGTAGTAGTAGTAGTAGTAGTAGTAGTAGTAGTAGTTGCAGTAGTAGTAGTAGTAGTAGTAGTAGTAGTAGTAGTAGTAGTAGTAGTAGTAGTAGTAGTAGTAGTAGTAGTAGGTGTAGTCGTAGTAGTAGTAATAATGGTAGTATTAATAGTATCAGGAATAATAGTAGTAGCAATATAGCAGTAGCAGTAGCAGTGGCAGTAGCAGTAGCAGTAGCAGTAGTAGTAGTAGTAGTAGTAGTAGTAGTAGTAGTAGTAGTAGCAGTAGCAGTAGCAGTAGCAGTAGCAGCAGTAGTAGCAGTAGTAGCAGTAGTACTGTAGTAGTAGCAGTACCAGCAAGTGTAGTAGCAGTAGTAACAGTAGTAGCTGGAGGAGTTGGAGAACCGGTAGAGGAACATCCAGATCCTGTTTGATAGCTAGACAGGTACGTAAGAAGGGAAAAGCATATGTGCATCGCCACCACGTTCCTTTCTGCCGCCTGAGCCACTCCGAAGGCCCTGTCACTCGAAGGTGCTGTCCGGACACCTGAATCGGGGCTTATGATGTCGGGGCCTTAATAATTAGAATAAGGTTTTGGGGCACATCCAACTATAAGTATAATGAGGAACCCCCCCAAAAAAATAGTATTGGTGATTGTTTAGGTACAAACAAATGCTCCATTTCGGAACAACTTGGTGCATGAGGTGCACAAACCCAAAAACTTGATACATGCATGGGCGAGGTAATGAACACGCGTCGGCAGGGACTACGCATCCATTCGGAAGATGGACAAGGCCAAGTGTTGTCTTCATTGCATCAGCGCACCTCACGGTCACAAACGCTCCCGGTGCACGCGATGCGCTAAGGACAAGATTTAATCAACATGCAACAGAAACACCAAGAGTTTTTGATTCAAGCGCATTTTAAACAAGGGCAAGAGACACAGCATTAGCTGTTCATTATCGCAAAACCTGACATAGTTTCCCAATCTCGCATGGCTCTGACGACTCGTTCAATCAGGGAGGCCAGGTTACAAAACCTGAGCCGCTATCCGCCTTGTAGCCTTCAGCCTTAAAAATGTATGTACTTGCTACTGCCTGCCTGCCACCCTCGCACTGACTTATACTGATTTCATGCACACACGCATGGATGGATGCTGCTGCTGCTGCTGCTGCTGCTGCTGCTGCTGCTGCTGCTCCTGCTGCTCGACGGCCAATTATGACGACGACGACCACGAGTTGCCACAGAATACAAATTAAAACGTATGAAACCTCTGCAACCCTGTAAAGCCGCATGCATATATATATATATGTATATATATATATATATATATATATGTATATATATATATATATCACGGCAAACCCCTATAAACCCCTGAGATGATAAATTCCGTTTAATCTTCCAGGCCGCCTGCACCGCCCCGATAGGCCGTGCACCTGCGACGGGAAGCAGTCGGTTTTAAGACTCGAGCCCCAAAGAGTGAAACAACTCAAAAAGGTTTGTAGGAATCATATAGGGCTTTGTAAGGCTGCTTAAGCCTAAGCTTGGATAGGGAAGATGTCTTGCATGAACATGAAGCTCTCTATTTATTGCAGTCCATATTCCGTATTTAGGGTTTTGGAGTCTCCAGCGTCTCTGCGATTAGGTAACTCTACGAAGAAGGTAGTCGTCAGGGTTCAGGGCTTCAAAAAGGGTCCAGCGAACAATAGCAGCTTCAACAGCAACAACGGTTGTCATGATGGTTGTCATGCTTGTGTGAATTTATTTTTGTATGGTTCACTGTCCATAGAGCACGTCTACTTCTTCATCGGGGTTGTGTTTCGAGTGCACCCTAAGCCCAAAAACCCTATAGGCTCCAACCCCTCAACCCCAAAGTTTCAAAACCCCCGCGTGTCAAAATCAATTTCAACCTCAAAACCCACTTCCGTCAAAGTAGTACAAGAATTACTATTACCACTACTATTATTACTATTATTACTATTATTACCATTATTACTATTATTACTACTATTAGAATATCACACCGAATAATGACCAAGGTAGGGTTGCCGGCTTCAGGGTCCAAATTAAAGGTTTGGGGTTTAAGAACAGTGTGCCGGCAGTCTGAAATGATGACCTAGGTAAGGGTGATAGCGACAGTACTCGTAACCATAGCAATAGGCATCTTAACAGTAAGGGCGGTCGTAATGTCGTAATTGCAGCAATGATGGCAAGAGCATTCCTGCTGACGGAATTGCACTCGAAGATGGAAAGTTCGGAGTTCTCAGCTACACCTGATATCTTGAAACCCTGAAACCCTCGCATTGTGTTATGGCCCTCAACAACAAGAACCCTGTTCCAAAGACCCCTAAACAGCCTAAAATACTAAACCTGAACAGCACGAAACCCTGAACCTTACAACTCCAACAGCAAGTAAAATAATGGCCCAACACCTTTTGAAAAGGCTATTATTCCACATTCTTTTGGTGTCCGGATAAGCCCTAAAGCCCCAACGCCTAAAGCTTATAAACCACAAAACCTGCGCCGCCTGGGGGCGGACGGCCATCCAAGCTGTCCAGGAGTCCGAAGCCGAGCCGCGACCTGAGCTTCAAGAACTTTAGGGCTTCTTCTTACCACTGATGTTTTTATTTCTGGTCATTATTACAAACACTGTTGAAATTACTACTGTCATGATTTTCTCATTTTGGTGATAAAGCTCTTATGTCTATTCTTATTGTTATTCCTAGTGCTAGTCTTATTGTTAGTACTACTGTTCCTATAGTGTCCGTTGAAGGTCTTTGTTTGGTCGAACCGATCCCAAGAGGTGCACAGTCGCCGACAGCACTACAAACAACCCATGGCCACCAAAACCGACAGCACCAAGAATAATGTTGCTGCCAGTTCTCACTGGCGCACAGCACACGGTACTACGGTGGAGAGTATCGACCACCGTGATCACTTACTCTCTCCAGGCCCCCAGCGTCCACGAGGGCTTGGCAAATGCGGCCAAGAAGGAAGAGTCAGACCGTGGCCTCAGAGGTTTAGATGCTTCGGGGGTTCGGGGCTTTGTTAACTTCTCGGCCCACTTTGATGGACTGTAAATTTCCAGAAGCCCTCGGGAAAGAAGGCTACAAACATGGGCTCTGTGGCATATGAAAGGATATCGGTATGGATTTCGAGCTTTGGGCATAGCAACGTAGCAGGAAGATGTGTGGCTGCTGACTTGCCACCAGGCTACTGATACTGTCGTTCGGCACATGCTCCCGTTTTGGTTCCACACCATGTCGCCCAAAATTCAGGCCCGCGGCATCCACGGCAACACAAACAGTTGCCGTGATTTCATGTAGTTTAGGAGCTTGGAGATAGGCCCAGATCACGTCCGGGTCGCATCCTACTCCCGTTAATTTCAGAGGTCCGATCCGGTCGTTAGTTTCGCTTCATTCCCCTTAGCTTTCGGGCCAGTAGCAAGGATTAGGATTCAAATGCCCTCTCCAGCCTGGAACATGCAAATCAATTTTGCTGAGCCTTAACAAACTGATTTTGGATTCCCTGCCTGGCGCCTCCCCAGCCTCCAGCTCCCCACGGCCCGGAAACACAAAAATCCATTCCTTCGGCCTCAACAACTTTTTGGATTGTTTGACAGTGGTATGCCGGTTAAGAACATGACGTCCATCATGACCGAAGCCACACAACACAAGCGAATGGTAGCGAGCTGTAATGATACGCCACCAAGAGCTCGAAGAGCCCAAACAAAGCTTGGCCCCGCCACATCTCAGCCCAGCCCTAAATCCTACAACAAACACTGGACTTCACCAGGCGTTTTGCAAAATTGAACCCTGGGGCGTCCGACTCACTTGAGGCACCGAGGTGAAAGGTCGCTGCAATGCAGCGGCAGAGTGTGTCAAGGCCTGACGCACATTCATGCTCAGTTTCCGCCTACATGATGGCATCACACCCCCGGCAGAACCAACATGCATACATACATGGATACATACGTACATCCATCCATCCATCCATCCCTCCCTCCCTCCCTCCCTCCATCCATCCATCCATCCATCCATCCATCCACGCATACATACATGCAGGGCATACCTTCATACATACGCGCACACACAAAAACCATACATACAGAGAGAGTGAGAGAAAGAGAGAGAGAGAGAGAGAGAGCGAGAGAGAGAGAGAGAGACAAAGAGATGGATAGAGAGAGAGAGAGAGAGAGAGAGAGAGACGGACTTATGCAGATGCGCAAACACACACGCGCGCACTCAACACAAACATGTGTGTATGTGTAATTAACTGTATATGATGTATATATGTATTATACAAGATATGTCCAGATGAACACATGATAATACATGGTATTCACTATAGTACGTAGTGTTGACCTTCTTAGTTTTGTCTTTCTTGTACATCATGTCTTTCAGGCGGTCGGTGTTAATTAGGACGGCGCCGACGACGACCAGGACCGTGATTGACATTGGCAAAGCTCTGGCGTGTCAGCACTGTACTGCAATGAATAACAGTATCACACCCTCAGGAAGAGACCTTGCCCAAGCTTGGTACACTACGGGCGCACAGCAGGGCGACCATCATCCATGTCACGATCAAGGTATACTAAATGCATAGCTGTGTTCTGCTGTTGAAACTCGGTTCTCGGATGAAGGGCAAGCTTGCACACAAGCATGTTTGCCGGTCTACTACCAGGTTATAAGTCTTAAAACATCGAACTTGCACCCTAAACCTTGACATGTACGGATGTCCTAAACGGGGAGAGCGGAGGGCAGGCTTCTGCGGGTTCAGGTTGAACTTGCTCAGGTCTGTGCGCGGTGCGCCGGCGAGTCGCTCAACGTCGACCTGCATCTCACGCATGTTTAGAGGTCCTTCGCTGTCCATCAATCATTCTACCTACCTAGCTGTCTATCTACCTGATTATTTACCCACAGGATCACATGGGAAGATTCTTTATGAAAGCAAAGGAACATGATGAGCACGTAGTTAGTTTTGCTGCCAGTAGGACCACAAAGTCTCTTTAGCACTAATTATAGCTAGTACATTGCCGAACTAGACAAGAAAGTGTGAGCTGAGCTCCGTTCACAAGCGCTCCCCTTCCTAACAGGTCCTCACGACTGCAGGAGCTGCAAGCGGCAGCAAGCGCAGGAATGCAAGACTGCTCGGACCGCAACTGCAGACTGCAAGAGCCACAGCGACGCGGGCATGCAGGGGAACTTCAGGCTCCTTCTTTCCACAAAGAATGCCGAGCAAATCAATGTTAATGTGAGGGCGGAATTAGATAGACGGGGAGGATGTTATTTGCACACGCCAATGCAAGTAAGAATCGAAAACGGAAGCAGATCTGTCATAAATATGCAAGAGCTGCATACGTTCATATTGCAAGATACCGAAATGATGCTCTTGCCTCGGGCCAGCAAGGAATCGAGGCAGATGGAACCTAAGAGTGTGGAGCCAGGACAAAGGAAGAACCAGGGATTCAGGCTCTAGGGTTTATCTAGGGCTGGGATTTTGGGGTTCTAGGGATAAGGATGCGGAGCTTTTGGGTCTCTGGCTGGCTTTGGGGAGTAGTATTGGGTTCAAACCATCGCTGAAACCTTGAACCTGGGACTCAAACACGCCGGGGACGGGACGAGGAAGGTTCGATGGAGCGGCGGTGCCTGATTTCTCGGCATGGGCCGTTTGCAGCTCGACCGCTTGATGCACTTCTTCCTCATAAGCCCTAAACCCTAAACACCTAACCCCCAAGCCGTGCAGATACGATCTAGTTGAGATATGACTCGTCTCGGTAAGACTAGACTAAAAACAATACACTATAGTATACTAACTATAAAGCACGATAACATGCTATGGTATGCTTTTTATGTACTCCAAACTGTACGTCATATTTTTTACTACAACTATCATATATCAGTGGGACAGTAGATATCGGTTCGGCACTTGGCCCCCGACTTGTTTGGCACTCCGGCGTGCCGGTGCCAAGCTAGAAAAAGCTGCCTCACTGCAGATCACTGCATTCCACTTCGGTCATTCATGATGGTCGCCACGGCGGCTCAATTCAAGTCCGATGCCAATTGTAAGCAAGCATGACGGCACAAAACCGGGAATTCGCAGAGTCTTGCGGCAACTCCCAACTCAACTATTGCCCTGCTGATGTTGAACCGCGCTCACATCTGAAACACGTCAAACGCTTCACGCCAGCTTCTTGGCGATGGTGGTCTCTCAGAAACTGCACGAGGAGCCCGAACCAACTCAGGAAGCACTGCTCGAATATGCTTCCCTGGCCCATCAACCCCGAGCCCTAAACCCCATCTCCTAAACAACAAGCAAAACAGCCCTAAATCCGAGGTAAGCAGCCGGCAGCATGCAACGGCCTCATGGCCATTAGTGCAGCCATGGCTGCCCTAACCGCCATGATCTTGGCCAAGGGTGCTTCCGGTAATAAATCCCGGGCCGGGCTTGAGAGTCTTTGGGTCTGAGAGTTTGGGAATCTGAGTTTGCAGTTTAACGCCAGGCTTTTGTATTGCCAAAACTCTGCAAGACTGGCTTTATGGGGTTTCTCAATATGATTTTCTTGTTTCAGTCCTTAAAGTCCCTTCAAAGCCTTTCAAGGCTCCTGAAAATGACCCAGCATGGTAATTCCTTGCAAAGGTCAGCTGTTGTGTCTTCTTGCAGACCTAGCGCTGTGCAGCACCTCCAGAGCCGAGCTGGCCAAGAAGAGGAACGGTCAGAAAAAAGGCCCAGTCTGGGGTTTTAGGGTTTTTGGGTTCACACGTCAACTCAGGCCCTTAAGATGTTTAGGCTTTCGGGTTTTAAGTTTTGGGGTCCTTCCCAGGATGCATCGTCCTAGGGAGGTTGACCGGAGAGCAACTCATCCATGTGGCAAGCATACTCATAGCGGCCGCAGACCCGACAGCAGGAGACTCCCAATGAGCCGATTGAGCTGCCTCTTCGAAGTGAGCAGCAACAACAGATCCGTGACTACATGAGCTCATGCAGGCTCGAGCCGCAAGATCCGCTCGGTGATGTCATCCTGTAGTCTTGAAGGCGGGTACGAAGACGAATCGGAGCGTAGCCCACTCACAGACCAGATGGCTCGGCCCACCACTCCATCAGCCCGTGGAACAAGGGGTTGGCCGCTTCATTCAGAAGATTGAAGGGAACGTACCCCTAATGTCGTCCTTGATGAGATCCAATTCATTGCTCATCCGAGGGTTGTGCGTAGCCACCTGCCCAGTGGAAGAGCGAAATCGTCAAAGATCGAAGATGATGAAGAACATCTGTGTGACGGCGCGAAGCTCCAAAGGTAAAGCAAAAACGAAGATGCACCTTGTGCACATTGAACTTCAAATGGCGTCGAGGCAGGTCTGCTTGCAGGGGAGGTGCAATGCCGAAACACTCGAGCTCAGGGGTATGACAATGATTGTAGCCCAGTTCCCGAGCCAAAGGCTGGACAGAAGGAGCACCCACCACAGCAGATTTAGTTGAATCCCTGGTGAAGCCGAAAGCCGCATCAAAGGTCTGTGACCTCTGCAGGGGCGAGCATCCGGATGTCCGCGAGGCAGAGAGAGGCCACATATAGTTTTGTTATCGAGGAATGCCAGAGTCTCGACGCTGCCCGAGACTACTCAAGCCCATACATGGATGATTGCTGCAGCCACCATCGGAGAAGCGGTGTCGCCTTGCACGATGCCAAGTAATGGATACATGATCTCATCATGGGAAGCCCCTTGGAAAGAGAGAACGCGTGGAGGTGCGCCAAAATGCCAAACACGCTTGACGGATGTTCATCTTGCCGAAAAGAGTCTGTAGGTCCTCTTGGATTAAATCCTGAGTACCATCAGCTATGGCACGAAACAGCCGGGCGTGTGCATGACAAACCGAAGAACCTGGTAATCGGTCAAGGTTCCGAAGGAGCTCCAGGTGCTGGACGCATGTTCATTAAAGACAGAAGAAGCTGCCCTTCTAGAGGACAGTCTGCGCTGGCCCGTGCCCGAGCCATCGGAAAATCGTGCATTTCGGAGGTGCCTAACTTCCGCGCGCGACAAGGTCACGAATGCAGAGTCGAAAGGACGCTTGGTCCCGCAGCGCTAGGAACGTCCATCGAGTGGACCGCCGCGCCCGGTATCGAGCCTGAACCTCTATCTGCTCGAATCCCACGTCCTTCAGAACTTCTTCCAGCTCCAAGACATGCCATCCCATAGGGACCTGGCGAAGATGCCAAAGCCCCTACTTAGCAGAATTGCGCGGATCCCGAAGTCGATTCGGACGGCAAGTCGCTTGCCATCGTAGTACAGGCCCATGTCACCAGATCATCAGGCAACAACACGGCGTAGGTATTGGCAGCGGTAATCGTCGGGCATTTGCTGTTCCCATAGCAAAGCCGGTTGATTAAAAGTCAAACCGGACCAGCGAAGCGGTTGGCAGAAGAAAGTTGTGCCTCCCAGAATTCGGCCTCCAGCAGCCAACAGTGAACGTGCTGCTGTCGCGGACAACCTAAGCAGTCCTTTCACCACCCCGTTGGGATGGAGCGAGGTGTGCTATCTTCCGTTTTCTCCCATGCCCAGAGATCTGCCGGGGAGCCGCAGGTGCGCGCGATCCAATCGCAAATGGCCACGCCTGGCTTATGCACAATCTTCTTCCACTTGTCAGTGTCAGTAAAACGCTGCGCACAAGATGCCCGAATCACGACGGAGTCCTCATACACTGTGCGCTTCTTTGGTGCTCTAGCTTCAATGAAATCGACTTCCACATCCAGCGGGAGCTCGCCAACACCAGATTTGCCTGTGGCCCAAGCCACCACCCAGCAACGCCTAAGCTTCATGCCGCCGCGAAGGATCCCTGGTAGACTCTTGTGCTCAACAGGGAACTCAAGCTGCAACACATCAAGCTCGGGACAAGCCTGGCCATCGAACACTAACAACGATTGCGGGTGGCAGCCTCCTCGCATGAGCTCTCCAAACTCTTCAAGGGTTTTGCAATCATCAGTGTACACAAGCACTGGGGCTCCCTTGTCGAGCTCGTGCTCCAAGTCCTCAGCCGCTGTGATCACTTTGTTGATCTTAAGGTCGCCTGCACGTAGCTTCCATTTTACCTCTTGCCATCCATCCCTTTGCCATCGTCGAGCACGAAGTGCCGGTTTGGGTCCATCCTCGCCCTTTCCCTTGCCCTTCGCTGCAAAGTCATGCTTGCCCTTGCCTTTAGCCGTAGACTGCAACCCGAGATCTGCAGAGTCAGCATTCGCCTGGATGTTAGTTAGTGCCAGCGTCGCCGTTAATAGGAACACAAGGGGCTTGAGGAGCACCCGGACGCCGCCATGGAGGAGCAGCGGGTTCCTTGCCATCCTTGCCACAGCAACTGCCAGAGCAAACACCAAGAGAGATTTGTGATAACAGACGCGCCTCGAGAAGGCTCTCTCTCGCGTCCGTTTATTGCTTCCGGGCTTTAGGGTCTGTAGGGTTCAGGGTTGATTTAGGGCAGGAGGGCTTTAGTGTTCATGGTTTTGGGGTGTTTCACTTTAGGGTTTAGTTTTCAGGATTCACGATTTATCGGGTGAGGGCAACGACAAGAACCTGTTGTTCGATGTCCGTACCACACCAGCCCACAAAAGACGGTAATTATTCAGAAGTTCTCCACATCACCAGCCCGGTACGAGTAACCACGGTCACCCGATGTCATGGGAGGGCACTTTTAAATGGAACGGCAAACAGCTTTCACCTCTCAAACGGAAAGCAGTACTTGCGCAAACAACTAGCCACGTTAATGAAATCAGAGAGTGGGGGACCCTAGATAGAATAGACTACACGCAAGCATTCCTATTGGTGTCCGCCCCCCACCCCGCACCCGCCCTTCCACATCGAGAGAGCCCGCACTGTTTCAAGCTGCCCTTTTTATCTCCCCGGGATCTCCACGACCTTCTCGATTCTTTCCAGGGCATCCGGCTGCAGGCTCGGAGACGAAGACAGGAGAAACGCCTGCGCTTTGTCAGAGCGGTTTCGGGTTTAGGATTTAGGGTGTATAGGGTTCAGGGCCTTAGGGTTGAAGATAGGTAGGCTTTGGGGGTTTAGGGTCTGGGGTCTACGAACTCCCGAAACCCTATAATTTACAGGGCTTCCGGAGTTTGTAGACCCTAGAACCCCAATAAACCCTATCTTCACCCTACAAGAACCCTAAGGGTCCATGTACCCAAATAGTACATACAGTGGCCCCAATGTACCTATATGACCTATATGCAGCGACCACTTTCAAGCCAAACTCTACTTAGGGGAATTGCAAAAGGGGCCTTCCACTCCGCCCGCACGCAGCTGGTCAGGGCCGCCACCTGCTCTTTGCAAAGCTCCGGCCCAGCGTCCGCTGTTTTGCCTGCTGCTGCCGATTATTCAGGGCTTAGGTTTTCGGGGTTTAGGGGTTTAGGGTCTGGGGGTTTTGGGGTTTAGGGTAAGAAAAAAGAAGCAAACATCATCCTAATGATCCTCATGATACTACACCCTGTACCAGCGGTGATTCTGGCTGTAGCCAGAGGGGCGGCAGAAATGGCACCGAATTACACAAGGTTCTTTGTTCGCACTTCACAGGAAAAACGAGCCTGCAAACCGCTGAATCCCCGGTCTCAACTCCCTGTACACTGTACAAGACCGACTGCTCTCCTCACGGGCTTCAAAGCCTACAGAAGAATCGGAACATGTTATACAGGCTCCCTTATATTGCCCTTCTCTGATCACCCGTCACACAAAACGCAAACATCCGGTCCCGTTCTGAGATAACGGCTCGAGCGGACGCAAACCGCAAGCTGCTGGTACTGCGAGCCGCAGGCCTCCCTGCCTTTGTCCCAATGTCTATGAAGGGACCCAAATATGGGTTTGGGGTTTCGCGCTCTTTCAGGTTCGACAAGGGTTCCTGCAACGGTTCTATGAAGGATACTCGAAGTGTTACTATACTGGTCCTTCTCAGGCTTACCATGATAATCAGGGTCCTGTAGCGGTTGTATGAGGGCTGCTCCTGAGGTTGCGATAGGGGTTACTTTAAGCGTTCTAGAAGGTTCCAACCAGACACAATTATAGGGTTGGGTGTGGGATTTAAGGAGTCTCAGGCTTAGGGTGAATGGACTATAGGGCTTATGAGCGTTTAATACATATCACAATGCTTTCGCATGCAGGCTTTCGTAGGTGGCAAAAGCCATCAGAAACAGCAAATAGATTGGGCGGAAAGGATGTTCTCGACTTCCAGGAAACAGGATTTGGGAGGCTGAAGGTTCAAGATTTCCCTTATATCATAGACCCCTACCATGGATCCCTTACAGAACCCTTTAAAGGAGCCCCTATTCAGAATCAAGGGTTCACTTGCAGCCCCGCGGCGATAGGAGAAGGAGAGGCTTCCATCTCAAGTCTAGAGCAGTTCAGATGCACCACCACGGAAACATCCTAAAGGAGAAATAAGAATAGTAGTATAGTAATAACAAGAATAATAGTAATAATAGTAGTAAAATAGCAATGATAATAATAATCATAATCATAATACTTATATAGAACATGGACCCTGCAGAGACTGCAGCCCGAGAGTTTAAAGCCCTAAATACTCCAGCACCCGGTACCCCAACGTTTTCATTTCTTAAACCCCAGAGCCTGGGAGGCCACTAAAGCCCACCTGAATCCGCTCAATTCTACCCGACTCAAGCCCCAATGCAGGGGTCTGACGAATTAGCAATTAGATCCCCTCAGCGTCCCATATAATTCTGGCAGAGCATAGCCCCCGAAAGCCCGATTCTCAGATTTAAGGCCGCCAAGCCCTTAAATCCTTCTAGAGCCCTTAGACGCCTCTTATGAGGGGCATTCAAGCACCCTCTTCCAACTATGAAGGCCTCTTTTCTACCATTAGACTATGCCCTAAACCCCAAACCGTGTTAGACTATGCCAAGCAGAGGTGCAGAAGCAGGTAACATCGAGCCGGCCTGTGGAGCTCTTCATAAGGATCCCTAAAGCTTGGGGTTTTTGTACGGTTTAGGGACCTCAATAATTAGACTAGGGTTCCTTTAAAGGGATCTATAGGGGTTACTGTAAGGGATACTATACGAATATTCTAATATGAGTAGGTTTTGGGGCCCATTACACTATGATTACAATAGGGAACCACCAAAATAGTATAAGTAAGTATTAAGGCCCGTATATTACGGTTTAGGGTTTGATTTTGGGGTTCAAGGGCTCAGGGCTGGGATTCTAGGGTTCCAGGGCCTTGGATTTTAGACTTCAGGGTTTAGGTTTGGGTTTGAGCGCTTCAGGATGTCGGGGATTCGCATCGCGAGATGTTGAGTTCGTGGTCTTGGTACAGGGTCAGACTTACTTTGACATAAAGTTGGGAAGAACAGGATGGGCCAGAAGGTCGTCAGCCAATCAGCGCCGCCTAAAGCAAACTCAAGCAGTAAGCATACTACTTCAACATGTTACAAAAAAGGTCGAGTTCACAGACCACTGTGCCAGGCAAGGGCGATGACGGGAGCCGAAGTCCAGACCAATATCCTAAGGTAGAACTTCAAAAAGAGCACTCTAAGCCCTAAACCCTGGAACACTCAATCCGACACAACAACATGCGACAGAATCACAACTAAAGTACGGATCGCTTTGATCTTCCCCTGCATTCTCTCAAAGTTGCTGCTGATCTGTGCTATATACACCATGGCCGGAGATGAAAGCAAGACACACCAGTGCTAAACTGCTAAACACTTCAACTCTTAGATCCTAGATCCCTTCCATCCACCCCAAGTCCCCTATATAACCCGAAGATTCTGTAGATCCTTACAGTAACAGGGCGTATCCTATACCATCCCCAGGAGCCCTGACCATAAACCCCAGAACACCCTGAGTTCTGCAGATGGCCTTCTTTTGATCGGCACTTCTGGAGCAGAGAGAGGCGGTTGCGCGCCGCGCGGTTGGCGATGACCTGGATCTGAGCTTAGACTGAGGGGCTTGGAGTGTCACTCACCCCAGGGATCCGGCTTTAGGGTTTAGGGTTTAGGGTGCTTAGGGTTTAGATTTTTGCTGAACGGTTTAGGTTTAGGGCTCAAGCTGGAGGAAGCTCACCGTATTTGGTTTCAGGTTCCAGGCTGGTGGCTTTGCCAGAAGCCCAACTGCTTTATAGTGTTTGGGGCCTCAGAAACCCTGCGTTTAGCAAGCCGCTGTCCACAGCTGCTCGTCCGAGTACTCCCGAAAGATTGCGCCCTGGACCATGCGGCCAACAAAGTGGTGAAAGTCCTGAAGACACGCATTGTTGCCATGTAAGCAGATGCATACATGGTGTTGCCGGGTAAGCATTGCGTATAGTATGTTAAGTGACTCAGCGAAGGTGCGGAATAATCATTCCTCAAGTTGCTGCAGACATGAAGCTCTGTTCAGCAGGTGGACCTAGTCTAAGATGTCCAAACCAGAAAACCCCGCAGTTGTCTACGAATTACCAAGAATTGCAATAGTTGTTTTGAGGACTTCCTGTTTGGAATCCAGGATGTAGTTTGCTTTAGTTTGGGCGTCCTGGTCGCTGTCCAGCCAGCCTGCCTTCCGCTGTGAGGGAGCTTCCGACATGACGGCTGGCCACGACGCTATCTTGAATAGGAAAGACTGTCGACATAACTTGCCGCGGCTGGTGCGCAAGCAAAACACTTCAAGTTGTGCTGTCCTGCTCCATACGTTCAATATTTCTGTGCATCAGCTCTGGTAGAAATACACTGGCTTCCCAACATCTTGTAGTCTTTGCTGTCTTCACTACTCAGCACCTGAGCCATGCTAGGTCTATTACATCAATGGTTCAGAGGGCTTTGGGTTAAGATACAATGGGCTGTTGTGAAAGCAAGCCGGGAACATGGCTCGGGATCGGGGGTGCCAACTCTTGCTTGGGAACCCTCCGAAGGGGTTTAATACAGGGGCCTATAATGATTAGAATAGGGTTTGGGGGCCCATTTGACTGTAGTTATAATAAGAATCCCCAAAACTAGCATAGGAAATTTTTCGGCCCCCAAAGTAGGAATGGTTTAGGATGAAGCCAGGCACGAGCTTCAAGTCTCCAAGTCTTAGGCCGAAAAAACTGAAAACCTCGGGTGTAAGCGTCTGTTGCAACGACACATCTCCCTAAACCCTAAAGGCCAAACCCTACACCCAACAAACTGTACAACTGTCCTTGCCGCTGGAGTCTTCAAGTTTTGCAGCTCGTGCGTCCATAAGTCGGAAGTCCGAATGCAATCAGAAAGGGCAGGCTAAAAGCGCGGTAATTTGACGGTCTGTACAAGTCCTCTAAAGAACTACAAACTTGCCCACGCGTTTATGCTCCTAATGCCCACCCAGGTCACAGACTCCGTTAGTGCTTTGCGCCTCACAGGCCATGCAACAACGGCTCGACCTCCCTCGCAGCTCACCCTGCGATCCCCATCACCTACGGAGCATCGCTCCGTTTGGCTGGTTTGTAGCGGAGCTTCGGTCGGACTGCCGCGCTCATTGGATAAGGGTCCTTCACCACGTATTTCACAAAGTATTCGCACAGCTGCCTGGAAACATGCATCGTGGCTGCTCCACAGGCTTCTGGTAGTGTGTTCATCGGGCTTTATGATTCTTTCGTTGGATGTTGATGATGTTTCGTAGGGTTTCAGCAAAGCTTGGCAGTAGCTCCGATTGTGACAAGAGTTGACTAGAACAAACGCAATAAACACAAACAGGGACGCACACTCCATCATCTGCATTTATCGCAGGTAGCCGTTTGCTCTCTTCTGCGCGGCCTATTATAGTAAGTGAGATAGATAGGTAGCGTAGATAGATGGATAGAGATAGAAAGACCGGTAGATATATATGCATATATAGTAGGCTTTGGGTTGTACAAGTATGGGGGAGGGGGGAAATTTTAGACAAACGGCTTTGCGTATGTGTGTTATATATAATATAAATATCTATACACATTAAGTTTATACTATATACACTATATGTACTATGTATACTATATAAAACTACAAATATATACACATGTATGTATGTATGTATGTATGTATGTATTCAAAAATCCCAAAGCCCTGAACCCTCGATCGGGCTGCGGCCTCGGACAAAGCCTCCATGCAGGTTCCAATGCCAGCTCTACCTGGCGGAAGCTTGTCGCCTTAAAGATAGAGCCCTACAGCCCAAACCCCGTAAACCCTAAGACCCTAAACCCCTAACCCTAAATTCTAAGACCCTAAACCCTTATATAACCCTAAACTCTAAGACCCTAAACCCCAGAACCCTAAAGTCTAAGACCCTATACCTTCAAGAGCAGCCCTGCAGCCTAAGCTTTGTCAGTCTGGCGATTCGGGCTTCTCTTTGACAGCTGGTGTCGGTTAGTTGAGTTTTGGGGCTTAGGGGCGAACGGTTTAGGCAGTTGGGGCTTTCGGGCTTTAATTAAATTTGGAGCGTGGAATCGAGCTTTGCCTTCTACAACCGAAACGCCTACAGCTGAGTCGAGCTGCAGATCGAGGAGGCAAGCTCAGGGTTCGGGAGTTTCTATGTAATCTTGGGGCCTTCATGATTAGAAGAGGCTGCAGCATAATAATCAAGAACTCTGAGGAATAATATGGGTACTTATTCCGGCTTCTATATCATTAGGCACAATGCTTCGAAGTAGTTCGGCACGTGGACTCTTCTGTTGACGTCCCTGGACCCCTACGTAGACCCTACCAGAGTCAGTCGGAGCTGCCTGAAGGTAATCTCTCAAGTTCTTGTCAGCGGCACTCTTCAGGAAGTCATCACCTGAACCCCCAAAAGTAGCTAAAATAATTGCCCAAAACCTAAAAGAGGCCATTATTCTACCTACTCTTGGGGTCCAGGCACACTGCTGACGATAGATGGCGGCTGCCAGAAGCGGCTGATCGCTGCAGCGGCGAAGCTCTGACTGGGAGAAAGCATCAAGATCATCCCACCTTTTTGTGACGCGGCACTCCTGGCTTTTCTGGTAAAACCCTCGAAGAATCCTCTGCGCATCCGGCATGAAGGCCCGTAATTTGTCGTCCATATCGACTTTGATATGGAACGACTCGAAGTTGATCGTGTGCGGCTTCAAGACGGCCTGGTTCTCAGTAGGGAATGGGGGAATGGGTTATGGGGACTATTATTGGGGATAAAATCGGGACTGCTATAGGGATCCATTCCCCCATTCCCTACTGAGCACCAGGGAGTCAAGACGGCCTGGTACAAATGAACGTTGCCATAATGCACACGGTATTTGTCGTGTAATTTTTCGGTGTCCAGAGCCGTGTAAAGCTTTCCAAGAACACTTCTCGAATAAACGACGTTGCCCCGCGTCGCAGACCGATGCCAGTGAGGAACCTTATGATCGGGCAAGTTCAAAGCCGTGGTGAGTTGCCGCATAGAAATCCTGCTGTCGATGCCGCCATCGAGAGCAAGCTGATGCGCTAGGCCAGCCTTGACAGCAGATTCGTGTCTTGCTCCAAGTTCATCTGCCAGGAAGTGCCAGCGGTTTGCAAGGCCGCCTACCACCACGTCCTTCTTCAAGGCTTCGGCGGCTGCTTTGCAGATGTTCCAGAAGGGCGACTCTGACCCGGTCGAGTGACAGTCCACCGAAGGAACAAGCTTCTTTATGGTATCGTGTACCTCGCTAACTCTGGCATGCTCGTAAGCAGAGTCCTTAAAAGGCTGAACCAGTGATGCGTCGGTGAGGATAAGGACGGTGTCGCCATCGTAATCTCCGCCAGCCAGGACATGGGCTGGGGAAAAGTCACAGCTCTTGTGAGCAGAGAGGAGGAGCCTAAGTTATGTGAGGAAGTCCACGATCTGTAGTGTGAGCATACAATGGAGCAAACAAAAATGTGTGTGTGTATATATATATATATATATATACATGTGTATGTGTGTGTATATATGTATATATAGAATTATATAGATATACAGAGAGACAGAGAGAGAGAGAGAGCAGAGAGAGAGAGAGATAGACAGAGAGACAGAATTTCCGAACCCGACCAAGCAGCACATTGTCGTGCAAGCATGTCGGGTAGCCGCCGAATCTGTGCAGAACCTCGATGTTGCTCAACAGGCGTACCCTTTGGACATCCCATGGTGCCGTACATGGGTTGCGAGCAATGGTAGCCTCGCCTTCAATGTAGCCTTTGCCGCTGACCTTGAAGACAGCTTCCCCAGGAAGCAATTTCTGCGCGAAGTCCGGGACTATGAAAGCACGTCGTGCGCCGGGACTCTTGTAACTTGCATTTGTCTTTGCATCGCCCAGTGCCTCGAGATCAAATCAAAGGGGGATACATGCATGTGCCGTTATGTGCCGTTGTTGTCGATCCTCACGCACGAAAGCTGCTTGAACAAGTCGGCAGTGGAAATTTCGGCTGCCTTGAACGGCTTTTAGTTGGACAGTGGCGTGCCTTGTCTACTGAGTATCGCCAAATGTTTGCAAATAGAGCAGGTTCCTGCCGTGGATCGATCCCAGCATCGCATGCTTGAAGTGCAACACCTGCGCCATCCTGGCAACTGAGTCTGCTGGCAACCTTAGCTCAGGGTTTCTGTTGCAGTCTGTGGCTAGGATTGAACAATGGCGAACAGTGGGCTGAACAGTGCGGTTGTGACTGTGAAGACCTGTAACGCTTATATTCTGGAAGTTGAGGCTTGACACCGTCGAAAAGTCAAGACCCCTTGCAGTCTAGTCCTGTGACTTCCGAACACCACTCTCCATCGCTTGGTCGGAAAACATTCTGCAAAATCGGAGCAGGCCGGAGTCTGAAACCCCTTCATGCGAATTCCTGAATTGTGGCCGGTCCGAGCTGGCTGCTCCCGGTCACATAGTTTGAAAACTGCTTCCGGAATCCCCAACTCCAAACACTGTAATGGCCAAGGTTCCGATCCTGCATCTCCTCCCAGCCGTTCTTCCAGCATACCAGAGATGTGCGCATGTTGGATCTCCAACAATACCTCCGTGCTGTGAATCGTACGCGAGACCGCAAACGGAAGCGCGTATACGCATGTGTGTTTATAAAGTCGCATGCATGAGTGGCATACGCAATAATATGCAAAGCCAAACGCACACACACACAATGATGTGTTTATATATGTATATATGTATACATAATACATGCATGCATGCATCTGGGAATGTACAACATCTGTGAATATATATATATATATATACATACAAAATACATACATACATACATACATACATACATACAGACATACATACAGACAGACATACATACATACATACACATACATACATACATACAGGCATGCATACATACACACTCTCTGTATCTCTCTCTCTCTCTATAAATATATATATATATATATATATACCTTCAAAACCTCTGTTGCCCAAAATAAGTGGTAACCGCTCCAAATCGAGCGCCTTTAGTAAAGTTGCTTAGTTTTCGGGCGCCTGATTATCTAGACAAACCAGAATGGTCACTGTGACCGTTATCACTCCCAAACCATGTTTGGAAGGCTTTGAAGGGGGCTTATGGTGTTTTGTTGATTAAGTTTAAGAGTTAAGGGCCATCGGAAACGAGTGGGAATCGGGCTTGTGTGGGAAAACTCATGCAAGGCAGAGCCGATCTTGTGACGATGGCTCAAAGTCGTCCCGTGCCCTACAATACCTCGCTACCCTCGCTCCTTATATAGCCTATGCAATACCTCGCTAACCCCCCCGATCCTTACATAGCCTATATATAAATCTTAAGCTCTGATCTATCTTAGGCCCGTAGGCCCCGAAAGCCCATAATTCCCAGGCCGGCCTTGCCAGATGGAGTCTCGGAAAGGATCTAGGGGTGCTGGCTCTTATATGGATATATTTGGAATATGTTGGGTTTTCTCATCAGGTTATAATCTACAAATAATAATCGATGCCTCAAATTTCGTAGCTACACTCAGACGCATACACATAAGTTTTTCCACTCGCTGCCGATGCATTGTATGGGCGATCACCTCGGATGAAGGACTCTTGCATCGTCCTAGCTAAGCCTATACTTCTCCCGAACAATAGAACAACTTCACAGGACGACTACATCATGGACGATGGTGGCTCAGTTACTTCTTCATGAAGGACACCGTACACATACCCACACACCTATCAGTTATCGATTTGCCTGCCAGGACCGAGACCCTGGGTCGAGCTACGATTTGAGATGTTGTTGTGATTGGTGGCTAGGTGGCATATATCGTTGTCATGCTGGGTGCAGTACAATTAAAATATGTTTGTGCTGAGCTAACACCTGAGGAAGGGATGGTTGGCTGGCTTCGCTTGGTGGCCCGAAGTGCCCCGCCATGTGTTTTCTGTTCGATGATAAGCAGGGCTCTCTGAACTCAATGCCTTGTGGTTTCTCTCAAAGTCAAGGGGCAGGATTAGAGGTAGAGCAGCTTGCTTCCAGGTCTGTAGGAGCATGGTGCATCGTTTGGCAGAGCTCCTGGAAAATATACCTCTTGTTCGCAAGAGGTTCCGAAAGGGGAACCCATGGATTCGTGAGCCTAAGTCTGATGCTGGAGGCAACTCGTTGCAGACCACACGTGCAATCGAGCTCAATGTTAACATCATCAGGGTTGTTATCGATTGGATGCCAACGGCAAAGCTGTCTATCCACGACGTGGAACCAGAGGCCGGACCTAAACTTAATTATATTTCTCGCACGCGAAGCCCCAATATTACAAATAACAGCGCTCGGACCCTGAATCTCTGTGCAGGTGAAGCTGCTCTTCAAAGCCATGAACCACGTGCCGGAGGATCGCAAGCAGGGATGGATCGATTCCTGGAGTGTCCGGACTTTGATTTCTTTTGCGCTTAAGCGCCAAAGAGATTCGCAGCGTCGAGGACAGGTTCCAAGGGTTACTTTGCCGAATTATTGGGCTCTTTTCAAGATGCTGTGTAGGCTTGCTTTGTCTTGTTTTTCCTATCGAACTGCAATGGTGTCTTGTACACTTAAGGAGGATGCGGTTCGGAAGCTCTACAAGTTGATTCGAAGGAAGCGTGCGGAGTGGTCTGCGGCTGCCCGTCGAGCTCGCCATGGGGAGGACGGTGAAGGATCAGAGGAGGAGCAGGAGGAGCAACCAGACGATGATGGTGCAGAAGGTGAGGGGTGGGATGAGAATGATAATAGTGACGAGCCTGACCAAGGTGAGGGAGAGGATGATCATGAAGGAGCAGGAAATGATGAAGCCGGTGATGCGGATGATGAAGAACAGGGCGCTAATGAAGAAGGTGAGGAGGAAGCTGAGGGTGAGGATGATGAAATCGTCGAGGTTTCCAAGCAACCTTCCTCAAGCGTGCACATGTCGCAAAAGCGCGAGCGGCTAGCCGAAATACAGAATGAGATTGCGGAGCTTGAATGCAAGCTTCGTCAGTGACTCAACTGAATAATATACAGCATTGGATTGGGTACCCCTGCACATGTATTGTGTGCATGCTGCATTGGGGATTCTGTGTATTGATGCTGCTTCACAAGGTCGGGGGCTGAATCTCCGCCTCGTCTTCGTCGCTGCTACTTGCTACGCATGACTGTATGTGTCTGTGCATTGCAGAGGGTATCGTGGATTTCAGCTGAGTGGTGTAGCTTTCTGAGGTGAGCCGATAGAGATCGAGGACACCCCCGCCCCGGTTCCTGCTCCCAAGAAGAATCCTCCCATACTTCGCCGAGCCCGAAGCAAACGCGGCAATCCTGACCTCGAGGACTGGATATACCCTTATATCAGGAAAACATGTCAAATATGTATTGCGATTTCCCACATGTGTGTAAGATTGTTATTTTTGCTTTCACAGGAGACGCAGATCTTGCCAGATCCTGATATGGAGCCCGAATCCACGGCCCTGGTGATAGAGGCTCCTGATGTTACTTGGATGCAAAAAATACCTGCGGGCATAATCTATAGGATCCGCATGTCAAACTTCAACTCTACATCGATCTGGAAACGAGGTTTCTGGTCCTGTCGTGACCGCCCAGGAGCAGAATGCATTGAGAGCCGCACGCCGGCCGGCAAAGCGTGGCAGAAAGGGATGCAAGGCATCGCCAAAGGCGAAAGCAAAGGCCAAAGCAAAGGCTAGTGCAAGAACCACGAAGAAAGGTAACGGTGCTGCCAAAGCAAAAGCCAAAGGCAAGGCTAAGTCAGTGCCAGCTCCAAGTGCAGCCGCACGTGGAGATGAAGATGAGCCGGTCGCAGCCGCAGTCCCCAGGAAGGGCAAGGGCCGTGGACGTGGAGATGAGTCGGTTGCAGCCGCAGTCCCCGCTAAGGGCAAGGGCCGTGGACGTGGAGGTGCGTCGGTTGCAGTCGCAAAGGGCAAAGGCCGCGGTCGCGGCCGTGGAGATGAGTCTGTCGCAGCGGCAGTCCCCGCTAAGGGCAAGGGCCGTGGACGTGGCAATCAGGCGGCCATTGTTCCCGCCAAAGGTGGGGGACGTGGCCGTGGACGTGGCCGTGGCCGTGGTGAGCGAGCTGTGCCCACTGCTGCTGACTTCGGCATCCATGATCGTCAGCTCGGATGCCCACGATGCAGATTTGGCAGGACTGGTTGCGCAACCTGTCGTGACCCGACCTATGTCTACCGAGGAACTCGTGGCCGTCCTAGAGCTGAGACTGGCAATGAAGAGTGATTTGTGTCGCCTCAAGTTTTCCTTGCAGCAGCCTGATCAGGAGGGATTAGGTTCGATGGTATGTGCAAACAGGGTGATCCTTGAACGCACGGGGTAGTAGCCCAGGTAGTCCCCACAAACACGACATCTTGCCACATATATGTGTTGTGCATATGTATATATATACAACTTTGTGCAGTTAACATCCATTCTATGGTGATCAGTGTTGTGTGGGCCAACCTGTGCTTTAGGGGAAATTTGTGCTATGTGTGCGACCTACATGCTGCCGGCAAAGCTCGATGAAGGGGTTCGTGGAAAACTGCCTGTTGTTCACAGTATACATGAGCTCGTGATTAAAAAATCGCACCGGTCCTGCCGCCAGGTACTTCGAGTCATTCATGAGCGTGGCCTGGAGGCGGCGGCACCCAGGATCTTCAGGATCGTTGAAACGTGCATCCCCCCGTGCAGCGTGTGCCAGTTAGTGCCCAGCAGTCTTGTGTTGCAAAACCATGCGCGAACTATGGCCACTTTAGCTGTCAAAGCTTCTGATTAGTGTACACATACATATCCGAGCCATGGCCAGCAGAGCCGTGGCATTATCGACCTTGAAGAGCCTCCTGCGTGTCTCTGCCCCCGGAGCTCCATGATGCAATCCAGAACGAGTTGAAACTGCTAGCCTACGATGCCTTTGGAATTCTGATCCCAGGTTCTCATCCTATGCATCCTTTTGATCCTTCGAACGGAGGGCCTCGATCTCGAGCAGGCTCTGCAACGTGGCAGTCGAAGATGTGTAGTGAATCTGATTTCGCCTCGGCTGTAGATTTCTTGCAATGAGGTTCTGGATGGGTCTGAGATATGCGCGGGGACAGGAATGTTGAGTCGAGTCCTACAGCTGCATGGCCTTAATATCCCAGCGATGGATATCTCCTATTGGAAGAATCATATCACTTCCCGCCCGTTGGTGAACAATCCATTGGATCTTCTGGGGAATGCAGGATTTGTGCACCTAGGCTTCATTTGGATGCTCTTAAGTATTGACTATATACAGTATATGTCATTCTAAGGCTGGTCTTGATTCAAGCGCTGAAAGCCAAGCCGGCATCCACCTTCCATTTCGGATTGGTCTGCTCCAGTTGGGTGTCGGTGTGCATGAACTCTTCTGGCCGAAGTTTCTTAAACCCCAATGGATTTTGCGATCTGAGCTGGGTTTCCGATGGAAACCTGATGGTCTCAAGGCTAGTGCATATGCATTTGAACAGTCCAGTGGGAACGTTAGTCGGTAGTTTGTGTGGTTCTTTCTGCCTTACCCTGGAGGTTCTGCTTGATCGCTTGGCTACTGATGGCTCGAGGCTGTCACTTTTGCCTGGAGCAACCGGTGAGTTCATTAATGTACCGCCACCGACGATTTCAAGAGCTTTGCCAGGCTGTGGTAGTGCTCCAGTTGAACACAACTTATGAAATATATATACACATATACACAAAAATAATATATGCATCTATCTATCTATCTATATATATATATATGTATATACGTATGTATATATATATATATATATATTCACTTATAAACATGCACATCTGTTGTTTTCTGAGTGCATTATGCATATATTTATGTATAACTGTATATATATATATATATGCATATAGAAAATTTATCTCACAAGCATATACACATGCACACCCATACATTGTGTCCCTGTGTGGTATCATTAATATTCTACATGTCCGAAGTCTACGCATGCATCTGTACATACATCTACGTGTCTTTATATATATATATACACACACATATACTCATATATTCATATATACATATGACATACACACATATACACATGTGCATGTGGATCTGTATGTACACATAGATCTACATAACACACATACATATACTTACAGATAGACAAGTTGACGTATGTATATATGTATATATATATATATACATATACATGTTTGCTCATGATATATTTATATATAATATGTATATATACATAAATAGATGTATGTGGGTATATATGTTCATGTGCATATATTTATACATACACACACGTATATATATAGATATATATATATATATATATGTGCATACCTTTATACATACGCACATATACACACACCCACATGTTTAGTACATGTATATATTTGCAATAAACTCACCTCTTCACGCAGCCAAGACCCAGCCATCTGAGGTATATCGCCAAGCATTCTGGCTGGGACGATTGGGTGCGAAGACACCCAAACGATCGGTCCTTTGGTCTTCATCCCGGGCAATCTTAGACTTTCGCAGATATGCCAGGCTTACCAAGAAGGAAAGGGAGCGGTGTCGTGGGAATCTAGTTCATCGATACCGGGACGCTTCGGGCAAGGTTCGCTATACTGGCAACAAGAACCTAAAAGGATCCCAGTGCTATGTCCGCATTATTCCTCTGCAAGGTATCTCGCTGTCAACCTGCTATTGTAATAAGCCCCAAATAAATACCATCTAAGGCGATACCCCTTCGCCTTTGCCATGCGATTCGCGAAACTTTGGCCTGCTTTCCGAGCATCCAGTATCCAATGGAGGCACCCCATGCAGCAGGCAGGTCCAGTGATGTCCCGGCTTCCTGAGTTCATGGGTCTGCAATATCAAGATATATAAGTCACGGAAGGTTCCCGACGACTTCGGCTACTCCCACGCGAAAGAAGCTCTCTATGAGAAAGTCCCAAAGGATTTGTGGAAGGATGCACGAATCGGAGATGTTCTGGAGTACTTGTATGCCAACAAAAAATTACGACTGAGGGAGGACCAAAAACAATTGGTCCGCGATTTGGCAAAGGACTTTGCCTGACACAGCTCCTGAGAGCCGGCCGAAGAAACCGACGCTGCTATGTTGAGTGGGTTTAAGGTTTCCAGAGTTATATATATATGTATATAAACTAAGGTATATATGTTGTGTATACTTATATGTATCTTTTCATATTGTTGGGCTATGCTTTGTCGGGTTCCCTTATACATACCCATATGGTATGTAATAAGATATCTCAATCTGATGGCAGGAAGAGTAAGTGTATATATATATATATAACATATATATATATATATGAGAGAGAGAGAGAGAGAGAGAGAGAGAGAGAGAGACAGAGGGAGGATGATTTTCTTATAATCGTGCAGGCTGCTTTAATGGTCTATATATAGTTCCATATGGCAGGGTCTCTTCAGATCGAGTCGCGGGGTTTTTGAGGCTTCTTTAGGGGGCTGCGGGTTTTTACGGTGTTTGGTCCGGTTCGTGGGGTCTGGTTGGGTCTAGCGGTGATTTGTTTGGTTTAAAAGAGACTATATAGGCCTACTTTCGATATTTTATGGTTTTAAGGCATTATAGAGCACTTTTAGACAACAAACGCAGTGCCGTAAAAAAGCGTACAGTGCCATAAAAAAGCGTCATAGTGCCATAAAAAAGCGTAATCCCGCAGTGACCTAAAACACGCACTCCCCGCAGCGGTTTTGCAGGCTTTGTGATAGCTTGGTAGGGATGGTGAAAGGACAGCCCCTGCGCTTGTGTTCCAAGTCGCACAGTTGTGCTACTCTTTATGCCGGCCAATCCTTTATGAAGGGTCAGTATGTGAAACAAGAACCCGAGAACATCGAGGACGACCTACGTGCAACCTTGCTGCAACGATCTGATCTGTAGCCCAGACCTATATATCTAATATTGGCAATCCACCCACAAAACCGAATATGTACCACCCTATGTAGCCCAGGCAGCGACGCAGCGGCTGGCTGAGCTCAGAGACAAGGCTCGAAAGATCGAGTCCGAGTTGCCAGTCCTGCCTCGGAAGGAGGCGCTTGCATCCCCGGTGGTGCCAGCTACCCGGCCTGTTGCCACCCCAGCCCGTGGAGTGTCAACCGATGCTCAACCTCGCTCGCAACAGCTTTGGGAAGCAGCCTTCCCAAACAGGGCTGAGCCTGATGGGGACGAGTCAGGTGTGCCTGGCTTTATGGAAGCGGATCGTGCCGGTGGGGGTCCCGCCGGTTCAGCTCAGGTTTCCGAGGAGCCTCCGAGAACCGAGGTTCTTAGTGGTGATGTGGAACCCAGACCTACCCATGAGCCCGAGCCCACTGACTCCGACGATGAGTTGATTATGGATGTGGATTGCGCATCTAGCCAGCACACATCAGAAAATGCATGATCCTAAATATACGATCCTTCAAACATATTGAACCAGGTAGCCCTGAACCAAAATATACCCAACTTTGCACCCGAATGGCCCAGGACTTTGAAGAGCTTGGCGAGCTCCTTCGAGCCAGCATCCCCGCGAAGGCGGAGCCCGAAGAAATGCCAGTGACGCCAACCGCAGCCTACCTTAATTCAGTCCGTCGATCGGTGTTTTGATGCATGTCTTCATATAGGATCCTATAATAGCTTCTTTCTCGGTTAATGTAGATGATTGCAGGTGGCTGATTCGACTTTGGATGGAATCCATGATGTGTATTGGGAGCGAGCTCTTGATGATGGTCTTGAAGACACCCTGGCTTCAACAATGCCAACCTCCCCTGTGCCTCGAAAGTTGTTCGGAACTCCGCCCTCAAAGCCGACACTGCAGGTCCAGAATGGTTGCCTTCCAGGAACTCCGCCGGGCTCCGGCACAAAAGGCCTCAACCCCGGAGACTCCCCTACAAAGAGCAACCCTCGCAAAAACAAGCTTGGATCCCCGGAGGAGCCTTCGAACCCCAGGCATCGGAGCCCCGCTAAATCAGCGAAGAAATCCAAGTGTCGAAGCCCCAGCAAATCCCCAAAGAAGTCATCTGGCCGAAAGCGTCGAAGCCCCAGCAGATCCCCGAAGAAGTCACCTGGCCGAAAGCATCGAAACCCCAGCAAATCCCCGAAGAAGTCATCTGGCCGAAAGCATCGAAGCCCCAGCAAATCCCCGAAGAAGTCATCTGGCCGAAAGCATCGTGATCGAAGCTCCAGCAAATCCCCGAAGAAGACATCTAGCCAAAAGCATCGTGATGAAAGCCCCAGCAGATCCCCGAAGAAGTCATCTGGTCGGAAGCGTGATCGGAGCCCCTGTGCATCTTCCTCGCCCAGGAGCCGGAAGCATCGGAGCCCCCATAAAACTACTGTGGCACATGACAACAGCAGTATCACCCCAGCCAGGAGCAAAAGCAGCCCCACACACACTTCCCCGAACAAGCCTTCTGAGAGCAAGCCCCGGCACCACAGTGCATCCCCTGCTACGACTGCCGGCACCCCTTCGACGGCTTTGAAGAAGAAGAACAAGAAGGTGCCCCAGCACTTAGACTTAAACCTATATATAGCTAATCTGTGAGCCCCTAAATATCTCTAAATTTCCCTGAATCCCTGCAGGACATGAGATCCAATACGATCCGCATCACCGCCCGCGAGTACAGAAATTATGAAGCCACGATGCGCCGAATGTGTACTCGATCCGCCAAACGTGGAACCTTGCAGGTGAGCGACGATGTTGCTGAGCGGTGGAAGAACACGAAATCCCGCAAGCAGCTTATCGTGGCACTCATAAACTGCAATGGCGACAAAGCCTCTCTACAGCAATCGTGGAAGCTATTCATGTGTGGCGTTCATGTTGCCCCTCGCTCTCTTTCTAGATTTATGCACATCTCAGGATTCGTTCAATCAGAAGATGGAAATCGTGATCCGCAACATCAAAGAGGGCAAGGTGGTCATTGACAGTGGCTACTACACAGAGTCTGCGATGAAGACCGAGCTGAAATTCGACAAGCAACCACCCATGCACAATCGAAATTGCTCTGATCTCTCATTGTACTGAAAACATGCTTGCCCAAGATACCGCTCCAACCAAGGGATCGTGTGAAAGCCGTAATCGCATACTGCACCGCGAGCAGAGCTCGCCGCCGGGCTTTGACAAGGCCTGCCCCGTGGCTTTTTTGTTATATAGGGCTTATGGTATTTTGTGTGGTTTCTATTTGTGCCAGGCGAGACAAGTACCAACGCCACCTCATCGAGTATTGGATCGATGTGCGGACTAGTGGGTCCCTGTCGCGGACCACGCAAGAACAGTTCTCTCAGTATGTTGAGATCATCGACGATCAGGTTTCGTTGCCCCCGCCTATGCTTGGAACCGAAGCCCTCCCATGCTATGATGAAGACGAACCCGAAGATGAAGAAACGGGTGATGATGATGATGCAGATCGTGAAGGCAAAACCGCCACTACGACCCCAGCGAGCAAGCGCAAGAGACGAGGAAAAACTCCAAGCCCCAAGGCGAAGTTGCTAAGCAGGCAAAAACGAGAAAAGGCAGAGGCCGTGGAGACCGCTTTGGAGGCACGCCGTTCCATTCAGCTGATTAACCTATATATGTATTATCGGGTTGAAAAATCATTTACTGTACATGATGTGCACTCACTTGGGTTGCTTCAGGACATCGAGAAGATTCCGCAGGTCTTAGGGGAGATCCTGAAAGTCCGAATCAAGATTGACAACACCCTCGATCTGATGAAAGGAGACGAGACTAAGACGAAGATATTTAGCTGCAGTATTCGTGACGTGATTTCTTGCATTTATTTATGGTTGTCAAGCATCAATGATCTGTGCCAGGCATGGGTCGAAATTGCAAGCCCAGGGGGAGGAGATCATGGCGCTGCATGATCATCTCGCTGAGATCAAGTGCGAAAATGGCAAAGGTGACCCAAAACCGGAGCCCCTGAACTGAGATTAGACCCTGAACGAACATTTCAGTGTACATATATATAGCATGAAAAAGTGTGTGTGTGTGTGCACTGAAGTCAGGACGATCGATAAGCTGAAAGAATACCTTGCTTCGGTGGAAAAGTTGTGCCCTGGACAGCATCCCTTGCACGCCTCCGCACACGCAGCCGATCTCGCTCCGCTGCTGACCTTATCCAAGGACAAGTCGCATCACGATGGAAGAGAAGAAGCTGAAAAGGACCGCTTGTGTTGTAATACACACCTATATAGTTGAATTTTTATATTATTAAACCATATACCCCAAAACAACTCCTTAAGCTTTTTATCCCTACAACACACGATATACACAATACCGAAGCCCAAAAACCCGTATAAGCCCTAAAGCAAGCCCCGTATGCAATCTATATCCCAGGACTGTTCTGCGCCCCAAGGGAAAGGCGAAGGCCAAAGGCAAAAGCAAGAAGCGCGAGCCCCATGATGATGATGATGATGATGAAGAAGCCGAGAGTGAGGAGAAACACAAGCCTCCACCTGGCCCGAAAAGGCCGAAGGCCAAAGCTGTTGCTAAGACAGGAGCCAACAAAAAGAAGGGCTCCAAGTAGGTGCTAGCCCTTCTGTGCATCAACGCTTGCATCGATGTGTTTCATTAGCTGTATACAATATACTGGGTCCTTACATGAAACCTAGCTCTGGGGTTCCAAAAATAGATCCGTCTTGTAATAGCAGGATAGCTTGAAAGATACGCAGTGGGGCCAAGCTTTTCTCACCGCACGCACGAAAAGTCGTGGTGTGGATGCATAGCTTGCTTAGCATGTGTATGCAATGTTCCCGTAATCCTCTAGATCTACTCCGTGGGGTGAAAGCTAGGAGCTGAAAAGAACCGCTCAAGGAATGCATCGGTTGCCTCCGATTCCCTTTACAATTATATAGTGTCGACCCCGAAGTGATGCAGCGCAGGTGCTCGAGAAGTTGATCAACGACCGCTTGGTCGTGCATCCACGGCCTTGGCGAAAGCTCGTGGAGCAGGGGTCTGGGTATTGAAATGATTTCGAGTCCTATACACTGTATGAACCCCTGGATTGAATCCTCTTCATGGGTATTGGTTATGTAAATTCGTCGTTACGAACTCAGGTCGAAATTCGAGCTATAATTATGCTATAAAGACTACCCTCGAGTTGTAAAAGCCGGATAACATATTCGACCCCCATATTCCGAAGGAAAAATATCTGTATCCCTAAACACCCTAAAGCACCCCTGGAGGTTTCCGACCGGCTTCTATGTAGTATAGCAGCTGGCTTCGTGGACGAGTGCCATGATGCCGACCCTGATCTAGCTGAAAACCTTCGAAGCTCCAACCTACTTCGTGATCTGCACCGGAAATCCAAAACGAAGCATGAAAGTGCATGTGGGAGAACTTTCAAGAAGGAAGGGCTGTCTTGTCCTGTGCCTATTGAGAAAATCGATGTTGGTCGTGGCACAATGCACCCTGTCCTGAAGCTGAAAGATTTTATCACAGGATTGGCTTCGTGTGGCAAGCTTCCATTGCTGTGGGGCTCCAAAAATGCAACTGATCGTACGGACGTGCTGTCAAAGTTTTGGAGACGGTGGAGAGTCCATGATAGATCGCACGAGGTCTACGAGCATCATGGCAAGCACCTAGACTTGGTCTTCCCAATCCAAGTGCATGCCGACGAGGGTCAATCGGTCAAGAAGTCGGGGGTCATGGTGCTGAACTGGCAGTCACCCATCGGCTTCGGGGTCTCGACGCAAGATGATTGTGCAGCAG